AACTCGTGCCAAGAACCGCATACGCACACGCTACGCGTCTCGCCTCCTTCCCCACCTTTCTCGCCTTTCAAGTCGGGAAAAGTTAACTATATTGCTTCCAATTATTCGACAGTGCTGTTACAGCTTTTAATCTCAAAGGGAAAAAATGAAATATCTTTTGAAAAATATACTAATAACATGTTATTTTCTTCAATGGTCTAGAATGAAGCTTTTCGATTCCAACCGAAAATTCCATTTGAAAGTAATTCAAAAATGATCAATAAACTTTCAACACTTCTTATGTTCATTTTTGCTCAAATGTATTCTAGCCTCAATAAATGTGTCAACAAAATTACAACCTGCGGAAGAAAATTATATGGAATCTGACTTGACTGAGAGGAAGTTCCCACGAAAAGAGGCTCTCAAGATTTGTTTCTGATTTTTTATAACTTCCAAGGGCATTCTTTTTCAAGTGTATCACAAGTTTTTTTTTCTCTCAATGTCAACGTTATCAGCTGACTTTTCAAAAGTGATAGGAGGTGATGAAAATTTTTTTGCGCAGCCTGACCGTTTTTTTCAGGTGTGGAGTATTATCCTTGTCCTACCCATTCATTATTCAATCCTGCAAACCTTCGAATGGCTGAAAGTATAAGCTTCACAATAACAGTTCCTCTCAACTCCCTCGCTTTTTACTGCATCATCTTCAAATCACCCTCGTCGATGCTGCCAAAGTATAAATGGCTGCTTTTGAACTGCCAGTTTTGGTACAATACTTTTCTTTTATCTTGTGTAAAAAAGTTTCTGCGGTAGTTCCAAAATTTGAATTTCAGGTTTTTCTGCATAGATATTCTCACGACTACTTTTATCACTCCAGTCCTTTATTTTCCTGTTTGGGGAGGCTACACAATCGGTTTATTTCAAAGTGCCGGTCTACCTATAAAGACACAAACTGCAATAATTATACTCATCGTTTCCCCATGCATGTTTCCTTTTTTATATTATTGAAAAGATAAGATACAAAGATCATAGACGTATCACTTCAAAAAAAAGAAAAAAAACTTGAAACTGGAATATTTTTTTAAAGTGGGGCCCGAATTTATAACTGAAAGCGCCTTGGACGTTCACACAGAAAAAGTTAACACATAAAAAAATTCCAAAAAAATCTCAAAAAATAAATAACTATCTTATTTTCCAGGTAGTGTAGCTTCAATCATTTCCCTATTTGAACATCGGCATTTCTGTGTAACACCTAAAGACAGCTTTCTCAGCTTCAGTACAAAAGGACGACTCGGATTTTTTCTAATTTCGTATTTAATTATGCAATGTATGGAAGTTGCTATATATTTCTGCCCTCCCGAAGATCAAGAGACTGCAAAGCAGGTTACAGTGAAGGTTTCTTTTTAGTTTTTTCATATTCACTTATCACCTATATTTTTTCCATGTGCAGGTACTCGGATGTATTCCTGAAGGCATATTTTCATCGTCGTCCCTGATTTTTGATCTAACGAAACGCACAATGTTCCTCGCTTGCTTGATTGGGGTCTACTTTAGTACTGTGATGGCATTTTTCACTTTCAGAACTCTTTATTTTCTTTTGATTAAACCGAGCCACATTTCTTCAAAAACTTGCGAGCAGCAGCGAACTTTATTTTTTGTTTTATGTTGCCAGGTGATTTTTATTTTAGTTTGCAGTCAGAAAAAATTTGAAATAAGCGTTAGGCTACCTACAAACGTTCAAATATCAGTGAGCTTTTGAAAAAAAAAAAGATTCTGGGGCTAACAGCAAAAAGAATAAGTCAAGTTTAAAAAGAAAGTAGTTTAAGAAATTCGAAGAGAAAAACACAAAAAAGTTCAGTTTACTGTGAGTTTAGTCCGAAACTAAAGGTTCACTAAAATCTATGGAGAATAGTACTATGGGTACACTTTTTAAGTAAACTTTGTTAGTAAACGAAGCTTCATTGGTGGATTACATCGTTAATTCTTACACGGGAAGTGCGAAAGGTCGAGGTATTGGAATTTAATGAAACTTGGTATATAGGTACTACCGAACACCCTGAATCCAAAAAAGTTGAAAAAAAGTGCGCCTTTTTGGTTCTAGTCGAGTTAGGGCGCCTCAAAGTTTACACGCAAAAAATGCATTGGAAGGGAGGAGGGAATGTGTTGCGGCGGCAAACTCTAGCTGCCAGCAGGCGGCGTGGTGTAGTGGCTAGAGGCCTTGTGCTGTGAAACCTATGATGCAGGTTCGGTCCCTTTCTGGTGAAGTTTTTTTGCCAATTTTTTTTATTTGAAAAATGAGGAAGTTTTGATGGAGTGAAAAGAACAGCTCAAAATTTTTGAAATTCACCATTTTATGCTTATCTGAGAAAGAATTTCGACAAAAAATTTTTTTGCTCAATTTTCCTTGCCTAACCATAAGGCTTATGGTTGACTTATTCCTTCGAAAAAATTTCTGATCAACCAATAAAATCAAAGTTCTATGAGGTTTATTCTTCTTTCCTTCCTTTATGACGTTATCTGTTTAAAAATGTGTATCAAAGCCCAGCTTCACTTTATTTTCACAATCGAGATGATATGGCGATGCTGCAGGGAATGGAAAAAGACAAGGAAAAAGGGTTAACTAACCGCCATCTTTGAAGAAAAATCTTTTTGATGAATAAGAATAGAAGCATAGAACTACAATAAGTTGTTATTTATATCACAAACCTATGAACTCTCGCAAGAATAATCTCGACGCCCAAATTTCCTGCACAGAGCAGGACAAAAAAAAGACTAAAAAATTTTTTTTGTCGAAAGTCTTTCTCAAAACGACATAAAATAGTGAATTTTAATACTTTGAACAGTAATTTTCGTTCCATCTTCAAAAATTCATCAATTTTTTCGAAAAACTTCATGGCAAAAAAAAATTTCACCAAAAAGGGACCGAACCTGCATCATAGGTTTCACAGCGCGAGGCCTCTAGCCACTACACCACGCCGCCTGCTGGCAGCTAGAGTTTGCCGCCGCAACACATTACCTCCTCCCTTTCAATGTATTTTTTGCGTGCAAACTTTGAGGCGCCCTAACTCGACTAGAACCAAAAAGGCGCACTTTTTTTCAACTGCTTTGGATTCAAGGTGTTCGGAAGTACCTATATACCAAGTTTTATTAAATTCCAATAGCTCGACCTTTCGCACTTCCCGTGTTAGTTGACCATTCCTGTACTATTTCTAACAGCTCCAACATTTGTCATTTTCTTCCTCTCCACCTTCGGGTATTCTACCCAACGTTAGTTTGCAGAAGTATGAATTGAATTTGGGTAATTTATTAGTTTCCAGCTTTGGGAACGTTGGCAACATTTTCCTTCGGTCTTCATGGAATAGTAGCCGCTACTATGTTGCTTCTTATGACAAAAAGTTATCGATCTTTTTGTCTCAGTACTTTTTTCAATCTTCGCTTCAGTAAAAAAACAAGTTCGAATTTCTTTTTTTTTTGAAAAATTTTGCAAAATTTTTCAGGCGCCACAAGGACTATCCCCTCGCCTCCATGGATAATGAATCGAATTTGAATGGACATTTATTTTTTTCATCTATGAATTTTTAAAAAAAAATAATAAACACCTCCTCTGTATTCAATTTATTCAAATATAAACGTCATTTTTTCGATTTATCAACTTTTATTGCTCTGGAAGCAAGGCTTGCAAACGATTTTTGCCATGAATTTCTGTTGTAGCTTCCATGGACCTATTAATTTCTGAACAACGAAATTACACTTTTAATTGCTTCTATATTTCTTTTCTGAGTGCATGTTCTTTCGTACTTATGTTGTCCTACTCACATTATTCTAACAAAACTTAATTATATCTAAAATAACGGAAACAAACATTGGTCAGGGAGATGGAAAAATCCGAAAGTCTTTGATTCTCGAATAGACGTTTATTAGGAATTGTGATTTTCAGGCTTTATTATTTTGGGGTTGTTATCTTGTCTTTTATTTCGAGTCCAAACTTGAGATCGCAGTCTGAAGATTGATCTCGCCTCGAAAAAAGTTTCAAAAATCTCAAGATCTAATACCTTCGATCAATCTCCACTCCGCTAAACACCACGAATCACTTATCATCGGAACCAACTTCTTTCTTTTTCTTCTTTTTCTTGAGGATCAAGCAGCCGCTCGTCCTCCCCACGTGGGCGTTCAACGCGTATCGCTCGAAAGTTTGTGCGACTTTTGGAGAGTTCCAACACCTCCGCTTTACTTTCTTTTTTTTTCTTGGCTTTTTTCGTTTCTGGCTTGTCTTCTCTGATTACTTCTCTGTGATATTTTTTCTTTTTCTGGTAAAATTAATTTTAAATGGGGGATAGGAAAGTCTGAAAGCAATCTCATAGCTACTACTGATTTCGGTAAAAATTTGAAAGAGATTATCACCCAAACAGGAAACCTTTTTTGGAAGATGCAATTTTGGGAGCTGGAAATTGTTCAGACTGTTCAATAAGCCATCATGTCAATATTTCAATCTCCTTTTCGCTTTTTATATATCAAATTTCCCACTTATTTTTCAAAGTTAATCGAAAAAGTTCTATTTTGCGTCCAATTTTTTTCTCATCCTTCCTTTATTTGTTTAATAATGGAACCTTGCAACGACCATCAAGAAAAAGAGAAAATGAAAGGTTGCAGATCACTCAAAGAGTGAACAGAAAAGAAGTATCTCTTGAAACTTGAGCCTGGACTTCTCTTTTGTCCGCATTTTCTTTATCTTAACCGATTTAAACCTCTCGTTTTGATGAACAATATTTAGAATAGCTTTGAATTTTCGAAAAACAAAATTGCCACTCACATCAATTTCGTGTCTAGCTAATATTGAAGGAGCGATCCGTCAAACATCAACTTCATTTACGTTTCGTCGCGTCTTGCCTTAATTGGGCGGTCCCGACACGTCGTAATTGCATTTTTCTTCGGTGCAGGGAAGGCTCATTCGCATGATAATAGCACTCTCCTAAACAAAAAGCTATGAGCTTCTCATGTTTCATTTGTTTTTTCTTTTTATCATCATGTTCGAAACGGTTACTCTTGTTCAATACGTCGGCTGGATTCTACCCCGGGGTGAGTAAACCGTAAACTGCGGTTATCTCCCGGAGAATTGCGGTCTACTTCATTACATTTTTGAACATTTTTTTCGCGCGCAAAAGCCTGGGATGGGAGCTAGCCCACGTATGCCTTGTTCTAGCAATTGTACGCCTTAATGCCATTCCTTCTTTTTCAAAAACCATGAAATGAAATAAAGTTAACGGTAAAATAACATTTTTCAGAAGATCACACAAAAAATTTTGATAGAGTGATTACTTCCCTTGTTTGAAACATTTCATAGCGTTCCCAGCCGCAAAACAATAAAATGAAGAAGTGCGAAAAGATAAAAAGAGGCTGCCGACTACGACACGAATGGCTCGAAACCCTAAACTTTTACAACATCCTAAAATCTAGAGATTTGCTCGGGGCTGGCTCTGAATGGCCATCTGGCGTCGTGTCGTGTCCACCACGGAACTTTGTTCCTTTTTTTAAACATTCACGTTTATCCTTGATATATATTTCCGGCCTTGTTTTGAATGAAATAGTCTTCTTTTCTCCTTAACTTCTCATTCTACTTTTGAACATCAAATGAAAATCACAGAGATACAGAAAATTTAGAAGACCTTCTGTATTTTTTTTTTTAAATTCATTTTCTCATCACTATTTCACGATATCTTGAAAATTTTCTACCTCTCTTTTTTTCAATAAACAATTCAAAAAAAGAAACAGAGTGGCAGGAGCTTTTTTCACTCTCCGTCCCAACTCTTTGACATTTTTTCCGGTCCATTAGCTTCCATAAATCATTCAAATCCAATTTCGCAAATTTCGAGGACAGTAGGATAATCGGCTCCAAAAGAACAACAGAAATGGCCTCATTATTTTTGCAAAAATAAAAAAATGACCTCAATTTCTCAAAAGAAAAAATGGGTGCCTCGAGATTGAAGCCAATTTCTGTCTGCGACTCTCAAATCGTGGTTAATTATTCATGCAGGAATCCTCAAATTCGAGGAGATAAGAATCAAAACATTTTCCGTCCTCGCTCTTGTCCATCTTCTTCTCCAAGAAATCTTCGGTAAGTCTTTTGGAAAATTCCAAATAATAGTTTAAAAATAACAAAAAGGGCATGAGTACAGCTCTTTATATTTTTAAAATTAAATTTTTGAAATATGATGGAATTAATTTAAAAAAATATACTCGGACATTGACAACGCGAATCGAACGTGTTGGGGCATTTCTAGTGACCACTTTAGTAGCGTCAGCACTCTTAAGTGAACCCTACAATTGTCCGGAAACTTCCGGGACGTTTTTTTTGTTACCGAAGTCCGAGAAGCCCGAGAAAAAAATTTTTTGTAAAAGAACTGATAAAAAAATGGATCCTCATAAAACTTCTAGCGCTTGTTTTTCACCTTCTCAATATTTCTAAGCTGTTTTTCACTCTTTATTTTACTTCATCTCCCGAAATAACACAAAAAAAAAACGTTTTTTGAAAAACCTGTCAAAATCGGATACTCAAAGATTAAACTCACACAGAATTGTGTCTGATTGAACTTAATATTTGACTCGATATTTGACCTTCTCAATGTGTTTACGTTCCTCGCCATTCCCGAGTGGGATTTCGAGAGCAATGGCTCTAGGTTCCCAGCATAAGCTCCTCCAGCTTCTTTGGCGTTCATCTACCCGTTTAATGTGTTTTTCAGTTGTCAGTCCTTCTAGGCTGAGCTGTTATTATTCCGAAATTTGTCCTTAGTACATCGAATAAAAATCTTAACTCCTAGTTTCATCGACGTTTATTTTACCCTTTCGAGAAAACTTTTTCCTTAAATATTTTCCGATTTCTAATTCCTTGTTCATGAACACCAAAGCTCAGAACATTCTCATCGATGAGTTTCCATTGGAAGAAACCCTCAAGTGCGTTTTCGATTCAATACAATCCAAGACCTCCGTTTCAAAATGAAACATCGTTTGACCTCGAAATACTACAGACGGCTTTGAATTGGCCCCGATTCCATAAATTCACACCTTGTCGACGAAGCGAAGACATATATTTCAAGAGAGCGCAATTGACCGCTCCGAAGAAATTCTTCTTTTCGCCTAAAACGGCTGGTTGTAAATCACCCCCGAAGGCACGTTTTTGCGCTTGCAAGAAATTTTTCTTCCAATTTTTGTTTTCACTCTTTTCATAGAGAGTGCATAAGCAGAAAAAAAAACTAGGAAAATGGAAGAAACTAAAATGAAGAGCTTTTTGAAAAGTGATGGTTTGCCAATTTTAAAAATGCCGTAATAAAAAAAGCGCATTTTGTCTAAAATTAAATTGCTCTATAAGACACTATTCAATTCTTCTCAGTTTTCAAAAAAATGAAGAGTAAAATTTTTTTAAAAGTTTTGGTTAATTTCTTTCGGTCGAAAAATGCGTAAATATCTCGATACTATCGATTTCAGAATTATCTACTTGATATATAGAAAATCTTTGCCAAAATACTTAATACTCAAACGAAAAAGAATTTCACCAAAACTGCTCCGAAAACCATTCAACCCGTTTTTTTTTTTGCTCCTCTTTGTGCTCCTGCTCCACTCAAACTGCTTCGACACGGAAGGAAGCACCAGATGCACGCATTCGAAGCGAAAAAAAGCCGAAGTGGCCGATTGCCTTTTTCGGTCCTCTCCCTTCTCTTTCCTCCATTTTTTATGCCCAATAAAACTTTGGCTGGAGAAATGTCATTATCTCCTTCTTTTCGTTCTTCTGGTGCTTGACATGGTGTGAAAATTTTCAAACCGTATAATTCGGATGTTGAGATGGATTAAAACTGGTTTTTTGAGATGGTGTTTTATGAAATGCAAAAAATCCATTTTGTCAAAAGACTGAAAATACTGAAAAGAACTTTCATAAGTGCCTAAAACGGAGTGTTTGATTCTATTTTCGCCGGGCTCCAAAGAGCCAAAACGAGAGCGGCGGGCTCATCAGCATAGTGTGGTCAAATTCGCTTCAAAATTTTCTGCTGGCAGTACTAAATTTTTTTTTTCTTTTTTGGTTCGCTTTTCGAGACATAAGAAAGGATGTAAAGTTACTGAAAAAAACTGAGAGCGTTCCATTTTTTCGCTTTGATACATCAAAACCATTAAAAAAACCGTATAGAATAATCCAATTCTAGTATTCTCACGCAAAACTTAAATGCATTTTTACTGACTGTTCTGATGTATTCAGCCCCCGCTTCACTATATATAATCCTCGAATTTTTCAGTTTGCAGCTCTCAAAGTGGCAGTGCTTCGCCATCATTGTTTCTTAGCCTATCCTGTTCATTCCAAATACTTCTAATCAATATTACTCTACTGAAAAATACAATCTAAAGAGGGCTGTATGGCGTGCAGACACAACATACCAGGATTACTCACACTTGGTGATGGGCGGTGCCGAGGCGCCGCCGCCGCTGCCGATATTTCTTTCATTTTTCTTCTCTTCTCTTCAAAGTTCAGTCCTTTCCCAGCCTAATCTTCAGAAATCACCTCTTTTATTTTCACATATCTTTGACTAAATTAATAAAACTTTTTTTCTTCATGAACCTGATAGTTAGATTAGTTACTGCTTGGAGCAATTTTCATTCAGTCTTTTGAATTTCCATTCAAACTTTTACGTGACTGGCACCTCATTTAAAATAAACCATATTCCGCCTGAAATTTATGCTAGTTCTGAAAAAAACAAAGAAATTCTAGTTATCAAAATTCTCGTTTCGATTCCTCTGAGCACAATGGCCCATATGCGTAAATAAATTTCATTTTTTTTTTTTTGAATACTTAGCCGCAATTTTTGAATAACTACAGTTCTTTGTTCAGCGCTTCCTGCACATTTCTTTAAAATGCTATGCCCATATTTAAATTTATCCAGTACTTGAATTAATTTGAGAAAAATGCCGTTGCAAACAAAACGGCGATAAAGACAAAGGGTCATATTTTACAAACGCTTCTTTTGTTGGCACTTTACAGCTTGCCGTGAACTATCGCCCAGGATTCGGCCAGGATTATCAAGTTTCTGATGGAGTGGCAAAAAAATGATAAATGATTTTACGACAGTGGTATCAGACTAGCAAGTTTTCGCTTGTTTTTTTTTTTGACGTTGCGCCGTAGGTCAAAATTTATGTCAGTCGTTCAATTGTTACAATATTTATCAATGAATATTTTCTTGTGTCTTTATTATTTTTCTGAAAAAGCCCAAAAGGGCTTTCTCATTCGGACTTTTTCTGAATCAAAACTCAACCTCATCTCATCAAAGTATTCAAGGTTGGTTTTTAAAAACCCTTCTGTTCGGCTATGAAATTCAAGACTGAACAAATTTTCAAGAAATCCCCTCTCTTCGGTGGATATTATCCACGAGTTGTTGTGGTCTTCCGATTGAAACCAGACCCCATTTGGCATGGATTTAAAAAGGAAAAGAGCCCTAGGACGTCTTGAAGACTTTCTCCCAAGAGGCCACTCGGCTGGCCAATTGCTTGCTAGCAAAACTTCAAAAAATACGATTTTTCTCGGCTCTTCAATGTTGCATATGTTTTTTTTTGTCTTCCAAGACATTTTCGAAAATATCAATGTTTTTAAAGTCCAAAAAAGAACCAAAGATAAAAATATGACTCCAAACAGATAGATTATCAGAGCCTCAAGTGTTGAAGAAGAATTCAAATTTTTCTCAACCTATTTTCAAAATATTGTCTGCAAAGATTCGAAAAGCCATTATCCAAACTAAACTTCCAAGAAAGAAATACTCGACCAGTACTTTACCACTCCCTCACAAAACTAGTACAATTAAAGATTCTTGTCTTCTTTCCTCGACAAAACACTCTGCTTGAACCTTGTTCCTGTTTTTTTTTCCAGCTTTCTAAACCCAAGGCTGCCTTCATTTGCGCTCTGCCTTTTTTGAGGTCGAAATGGTTGCGAGCGGGGTAATTAACGGCTTTTCGGAACGGACAACGGCATCTGCGCCTCATCGTTTTCACAAAAATGCTTGCATTTCAAATGTTTCAGAGGCTGATAATTGAAAGGAAAAAAGAACCAGATGGAAATTTTGAGACAGAAAATTACAAAATTATCTATTTTGAAACCTGTATTTTTCATAAGATATGAAGCGCTTCCATTTACAGAACTTTTCCATTCTGATTACCAATTCTCTTAGGCTCCGCCCACCGCCCACATTTCGAATTAGCTTCCAAGGCAAACGAATCCCAGAGCAAATTTTCTTTTGTTGATTTATTTCTCATATTCGCACATCCTTTCTTGAGTCTTATACCGCTTCGTCGCATCTCTTATTCCTAAATTCGCCTTCAAACCTTGTGCTTACTATTAGTCAAAAAATTCAATTCTAGGTATGAACCGGCTATTTTTGCTCGCTGTGCTTTTCGCGGCCTGTTATGCCGATGGCGACAATTCTACCACAACGGTGAGCTCCGTCAGTGCGGTATGTTAATTTTCAAGTTTTTTTTTCTTCACATTAATCCTCTACTCTGATAAAATGTCAAGTATAACAAAAATTGAATGGTTTTCCGTGAAAATGGGAACGAGGACTATATACCCTTCAAAGAATAGCTCATTCGGAGACACTGAAATTTTCGAGCCTTTTAGAGACTTAAGAGCCCTCAACTTTTTTGAAAGAACTCGAGGACAATTTTTGAGACCAGATTGAAAATCAACGTGAAAAACTACATCTAGTGAACTTAGTCTCATTCATAAGTCTCACTGCGACCATCCCCTAGTCAGCTGTTGAAGCAAACAGCTTTTTTTCTTCTACCTTTTGCTTGTATTTGAGACATTTCCTTCACCTACGCTATTCTGCAGTACTGATCTAACTCACTGATCAAGCAAATAACTAGCCAAAATCAAAAGACATAGGCCGACTGTCAAGCAAACAGAATGTTTACCCGATTCGGTGACCCAAATCGACCGTTGCCCATATCAAGCAGCTGTGTTAATTATTTCGAAAAACCTAACAAGGGAAGAGAACATATTTGGACTTTTGAATAATTTACAGGCGCCGATGTGCATCGAGTACGCGGATTGTGTGCACAAGGCACAGCAGAAGGCGCTCGAATGCCACACGCTTGAGAACAATACCGAGGTACAATAACCGTTTTCAGTCTTCAACCAACTGTTCACGCATGTCCTTGTCGGGCAGCGACAATGATTTATGGACATCTTCCGTATGCTATTTGAATTAAAGGGAATGCATAGGCGAATCGAGAAAGGGTATCGAAATCTCAGAAGTCTCACAATGGTACCTCGAGTATACCTATGAGGAGAAAAATGAGTGGGGCTTGAGAGAGACTCTGAAGTACCTCCGAGATGGGTCAGATACAGCTAAAAGGTATGCTGGAGGTCTCCCGATGGACACATTATGGGGTCTTCACGATCCATTTTGAGAGGTATAGTCTGTTCAGATTTTGAATGTCAAGTGCAATGACGTCATTCAAAAACACTCTGTGGATGGTTCGCTCTTTGATTGGGTCATCGCACATATAGGGGCGGAGCTTGAGCGACGACTTGACATTCAAAATCTGATCAGACTATACCTTTGTGGGAACATTATGGTACTCTCTCGATTCGCCTGTGTGGATGTAGAAAGTGGGAAGAGAAAAAGTGATGTAATTACAGTTATTGTGAGCTTTTGCTTATAAATTTCGAGTTTTTGTGAATCATCTATGCGCAAGTTGACAAAAAACTGGGCAACATATCAAGACATTCTCATAGTTTGAGAGCTGTACTCCAGTTCCAAAACCAAGAAGGCGCGGCCAATTTTTGAGCTATTCCAAAAAATTTTGACTTTGATTTTGTCTACTTGTTGTCCGATTGGGGCATTTTTTCGTTGAATGAAATACATTTAAAAAATAGAAAATGATCTTTGAAGGTTGAAAATCTTCCATTCCAGGACTTGAAAAAATGGCTCAAACGTTATCGAGGCCATTCATCTGGGCCAAAAATCAAAGGACGCGTGAAAATATCTGGAAACTTTGCTTCCAAGGGAAGAAAACTAGAGTGATATAGGCATGAAATGGATTTTATCAAATTGAAATCATTGATTCATACTTTGGGTGTCATCAACTCGAGACTGTAGTTTATTCACTAACATCTTGAAAGACTTTGAAAAATATAGAAACTAAAACAAAATGATTACGAGCCATCAAACCACTCTTTTAAAACAAATTGAAGTCCAGGTGAACGAATGAGTAGATTTTTCCAGGGGATGAAGCAATTTTTGCGCAAGTACTGGGGCCGACTTTTGGCCCCGAGGCCTCGGCACAAAGGACGCGTTAAAATAAGCGGCAAACTTGGGAAAAGAAAGGTTCTTGAAAGTTAGACCTGTTTTTGAGGTCCAAGCGCATGGGGTGTTTCAATTTTTATTTTACTATGAGCCCTGCATCTCAAATATTTTCCGAGTGCGAAAATTCCCTTTCCTTTTTTGAATGGTTCTGGCTTACATCAGTTTTGCACTTTTCGAAAAAAAAGCTTCTATCTTCTTTTTGACGTTCTTCACTTAATTGATATAAACTTCGTCAGTCCTGAATCGTTAAAGCCTAAAAAATTTAAACAAAAAAAATTTTTTTTCGTGCCTGCCGGAAGATTCTCCTAGCTTAACATGCCGTTTGCAGAGGCTAATGATTTTTCTTCTCAAGGAGAGAAATTAAGAAAAACATTTCAAAAAATTATATTTCAGCAATCGAAAGATGGAAAGAACTCGGCGTGCAATGAAGCGAGGAAACTGCACAACGAAGTCAGAACTATTCATACGGAGGTGAAGCATTTCAAACACTCAAAGGCAATATTATAAAAGGAAAAAATGGAAAATAGACCAAAAAGAAAAATCCACTTTTTTTGGAAACGAAAGGATGATTGATTTTGAAAAAACTCTCAACAACCTAAAAAAATATAACAAAACCTGGAATTTCAGCTGGCGAACGAAGTTGAAACCTGTGTTCGGGACAAAGCTATAAACGCTCTTAGCCTCAGCGAGAAGAAAAACGAGCGATGCCAGGGTATCTTAAAAAAGGTATCATTCTCGTTTACATTCGAACTCATTACAAAAACTTTGTTTTCAGAACGCGAAACCAGCCCCGATTGAGCCACAAAAGAGAAGAAACAAGAAAGAGAAAAGCGGACAGAAAGCGGCAGTGAAGGTTCTTTCGTTTCCAATAGTTGCGAAATCGATTATTCGAAATCAAATGAACAAAAAGACGTAAAAATGAACGCACTTTAAAAAAAATTCGGTGTTGACAGTAATTTCCGCGGAAATCGGAATTATCTTCAATTCTCCAATAACTAGACATCTTCCTACCTTTTGACAGATGTATCGAATTTGGCAGAACAACTATGAACATGACGTCATAAGACAAGAATGAAAAAAACCCAAAAAACTCCAAATTAATTTGGAGAAGCCGAATATTTTGAAAAAAGTGTCGTGAAATAGGATGTTTAGTCCTGCACACAAGTACGCCGGACTACATGCAGGGAAAAAAACATTTTTTCTGTCAAATCCTTTTTTTAACATTTTCAATTTATCTCTAACGAATAATGTTTTCAGACCTGTCACAAGGAAGTTCGTCGATTGAAGAGCCAGTGCCAACGTCTCGCTAAATGTTGCCCTGCTGCTAGAGAGTAAGTTTATTTTTTTTATTCATATTTCTTTGAAAACGTAGGAAGTTCCGTAATAGTTTGCTATTTCAGATGCCACCAAGCCGAAGACAAGACTCAACTTGAAGAGAAGAAAAAGGCTCTGAAGGCAGCCAACAAGGAATGCAACTCTGCTCCGAAAGATTCCAAGAAGGTTTGTTAGTTGTTTTTTCACTTGCAAAGTTATATTCATTTATTAACTGAATTTTTGCAAGACATTTTTTTCTGCAACCCTCTCGCGTGATTTCCACCTCGAACGACGTTTACATGAATATCTGATGAGAGTTCTCTGAAATTTTCTTCAGAAAAAAAAAACGTCTTTTGAATATGGGAAAAGATCATCGAGCTCAGGGATTTTCAATCTCTGGAAAAGAAGATGAAAAATTCAGCTCGGTTTTTGGAAGTTTCGAAGATACAGGATGTAAGAGCTTTGCAAAAAGGAAGTGTTTCGGAAAACACAAAAAAAGATATTGAACTTTGAGCAGAGATAAGTAGGGGGGAAAAAATCCCAAAAAACTTTTCTCCCCATCTTTTACAAACAGTTTTCAAAGAGGGCAAACTGAAAAAAATTGGTTTGGAAAAATGTTTAAAAAAATTTTTCAGCTTACTTTCGAAAAAATAGGATAAAGTACATATCCGTCTTCAGAACAAGAAGCAACGCGGAAAGAAGGACGGTGAGGAGAAGGAACGAGACGGAAAGAAGAAGAATGGCGACAACAAGTTGGCAAAATCGCTGGACAAGGCTCAGAAGCAGCGTCGTTCGGCGCCGATCGGCGGCAAAAAACTGGACCTTGCTGTTGGTTTTTCGAAAAATGAAAAGATATGGAATCCAAAGAACAGTTCGCTTGTGTTTAGAAAACTTTTTGAAAAGAGTATCTTCAATATTTAATCAAATTCAGTAGATTAAAAAGAATGGTTTAATGAAAAATATAAGAAAATTTTAAAAAAGGTGTTTTTGAGAGGCTTAGGCCTTCCAGTGGTCCCTCTAGGGTTTAGGAGAAAAAACAACCCATATAGGGGCCGAAAAAGTGGTCCATAGAGTTGTAAAATCAAGGTGGTCCCTATAGGGGTTTAGGGTCTGACTCCTTAGCTTTTTTTTCTAAAGCTCAAGTGGACCCTATAGGGATTTCTCAATTTCATTCAAAAACTTTATTCAGTTTTTCTCATGGAAATGCTTCTTCGCTTGGAGTTCATAACGATTGTCGACTAGCATTTTCCCTATAGGGACCACGTTTGCAAGCTTTAGGGGCCCCTATAGGGGTTAAGTGGTCTTTAAGGTCGCCCCTATAGGGATTACTCTGAAGTTCCTAAGGAAGACTGAGTTATCTAGCGTTATTCGATTCATAAAAAAGCGCCACTAAATTAAGGACGTTTTTTTCAGCTCGCCGACATGCCCCACGCCTAAGCTTTTCCTTCAAAGGAAACTAATAAAAGCCCTACCGAAACTGGTACCGCAGAGTATTCTACCCGTTCATATGAATTGATTCTTCTACTTTCTTCTAATTTCATTCTATCGCTTTGGTTTCCCTTTCTCTCCATTTTTTGATACCCAGCGATCTCTACTAGCTATCCTATCCAATTCTTCTTCCGTGCTTTTTGAGCTGTAAATATTCACTTTCTTTATTTATGCTGAATAAAATATTGCCGTTTCTTCCAAATAAAGACCAACGAACTGAACTTGATCATCTCAGTAAAACAGTTATAAAGCAAATAAATAAGTCGTTCTGTTTTTCAACGATTGAAACAAATCTTATTTGCATTGGCCATGTTTGCAACAGCTTTTGGGGATCACAGTACATGAAGTATCGTATAAAAGGCAAGGAAGAAGCTGGGAAAATCGACAGCTTCTTGCTTTCAGCTCTTCAATCGCCTTCAACAATGCTTTCTACTGTAAGTTTTTCGAAATTCATAATCGAGAAGGTCAGGCAGCTTTTCAGAAAGAAATTCTATTTTTTATAGACTTATGGAAGGAATTTTCAATTTACCAAATCTTCTCAATATAAGCCATCGAAAAAAGTGTCCTGACACGATAATAAAAGAGACAGTGTCTGGTTTGTGGAGAGCACAGACAGGCCACGCCCCTAAATTACCCATGAACCGGCTATAGTTCAATTCAACTTTGCAATCCGTTTCTAAGAAGCGGAAAGTTTAACTTTCTTCAAACCCCAACCCTTTTCAAGGCTTCGATCCTTCTCTGCTGCGCCGGAGCTGCTTTGGCCATGTTTCCCGTACCCTGGAATGAATGGGAAACGGCCTCGGAATGTACGGAAACCAACAACAATTCTCGCAAAACCAAGTCCCAAGCCTGGAAATCTGCCAAATGATCGCTCGCAACCCCATCGGTAGGAAGAATCCCAAACAGAAAAATAAGACTTTTTCAGCCATTCAACGCATCCTGGCCATCCTGAGACAGTCCGAAATCGAACTGAACACTCTTCTCCGCTCCGGATACTTCAACAACCAGCAGTTCGGACAGCAGGGAATCTACTCGGGCCTTGGCCAAAACTTCGGTCTTGGAAACAACGGCTTCTCCGGACTTTCGGGATTCGACGGACTCAATGGAATGAGCGGCATGAACGGAATGGGCTTCGGCAACAGCGGCCGTCTCATGGGCCTCAAGAAATAAATTGATCAACTTTTCTGGGGAATAATTTGTCAAAATTGTAAAAAATGGTTATGTGTAGATTTTTAAAGATAAACCTTGATTCAGCTGTTGCATACTTTGGAGCCAATAATAAATTTGGCACAAAATGAGCAAAGAAAGAAAAATATTCTCCTCGACAGAGAGTGATATGATAAAGTTTTTGTGAGCTTTCCAGCTTCCAAATCGGCTACGCTTTACATTTTTCAAAACTGAATGCTTCAACACGGCGTTTTTTTGGCGATGGCCCACCCATACTTTTTCCGTAAAATGTAGTGTTTCGTATGCATACACTGCGGCGCTCTGGCACACCGCGTTCAACGTAATTTTCGCGAACGGAAATTCAGTTATATTTTTCATTTTCTGGTGACTATTTTGATTTTCGCGGAGTTACTTTTTAACACGACATGTGTTTCAAAAACAAAAAACAGAAAAAAATCGCGTTTTTTTACAATGAGAAATAGAATCGTTTCATTACCCATTGATGCGCCTATAATATTTCTTGTTGTTTACGCGGGGAGATTGTGACCAGGTCCTCTTAATTTTTGGTTTCGCATTTTCTTCCACTAATAAAAACGGCGAGTCAAACTGCGTATTGCATACAATTTTTTTCTTGTCTTCAGTATTTCTGTTAACTCCTGTCAAAGATGGTAATTAATTTATTACCCACAATTCAAGATCATTTATATACAAAAAAAACATCGAGTTCGTAACAGGCGTCTACTTGCGACGGCAGCACTGTCCATTGCCGCAAGGCGAGTAGTTCTGTTGGCAGCCGCATCCTGAGCTGGAGCTTGGGCTTGGGGGAGTAGTAGGTTGGCAGGCGACCTGAGCTGGCTGGTAGTTGGAGCACGAGCTGGAGCAGCTGTTTGAGCAAGCCTGAGAGCACTGGGAAGCTGGCTGCTGCTGGGCGACGCACTGCTGCTGACACTGCTGCTGGCACTGAGGCTCACACTGTGGAGACTGAGCGACGCTGGATTGGAGGACGATCTGGACAGTCTGAGATTGGACTGGCTGCTGCTGTTGAGGCTGCTGTTGAGGCTGCTGCTGGTTGTTGTAAGGATCGTACATTGGACCTGGAGGAGCCGCCGCGGAAGTGCAAGAGTTGTCACAAGCTGGCTGACAAGCCGGAACACAAGATGGCTGGTTCTGCTGAACTGGCTGAGCTTGCTGAGCAGTACAGGAGTTGTCACAGGCTGGCTGACAGGCTGGAGCGCAAGATGGCTGGCTTTGCTGCACTGGCTGAGTTTGTTGAGCGATGCAGGAGTTGTCACAAGCTGGCTGGCAGGCTGGGGCGCATGACGGTTGGTTCTGCTGCACTGGCTGAGTCTGCTGAGCGATGCAGGAGTTGTCACAAGCTGGCTGGCAGGCTGGAGCACATGAAGAAGCAGAGTTATCAGCATTGTTGTTGTAAGGGTTGTACATCGGAGCGAAAGTTGGGGCTTGAGGCTGCTGAGCTTGAGGTTGAGTTTGAGCTGGAGCTTGTTGGCAGACGTTGTTGCACTGTTGGTTACACTGGTTGGAGCATTGAGCGGCCGGCTGCTGCTGGGCGACGCAGGACTGTTGGCAAGCCTGTTGACAAGCTGGCTGGCAGGACTGATCTTGTTGAGCGGCAGCAGTGATGTGAAGGTTGATGACAACCTGTTGAGGCTGCTGCTGAGGCTGATCCTGTTGCTGGTTGCACTGAGAGTCGCACTGCTGCTGACACTGAGGCTGGCAGGACTGGACGGGTTGAGACTGTTGGACACAGGACTGCTGGCACTGGTTCATGCACTGGCCGGAGCATGAGCTCGGAGCTGCAGCTGGAGTGGAAGGACTGCAGCTCGGCATGCAGGAAGCTTGGCAGGACTGTTGGCAGTTATTGCTGGGCGACGCTTGACACTGCTGCTGGCATGATTGCTGGCAAGCTGGAGCGCATTGAGACGTCTGGACCTGCATCGTCTGAGGCTGCTGCTGTTGAGCCTGAGGAGCGCAGCCGCAAGATGGAGACTGTTGGACTGGAGCAGACTGGCAGGAGCACGACATCTGTGGCTGTTGCTGTTGAGGGTTGAGCCTGAGAGGGGGAGCAAGAGCAGGTTGGCTGTTGCTGAGCCTGAGAGGCACATCCGCATTGACGCTTCTCACGGATGACGCTTGCCTGAAACAATGAGCTTCTGAGTCTTTTTTTCCGAGAATATACAGGTTTCCTACTCTGCAACTAGTTATGACTATGATTTTTGTTAAATTTAGTTGGTCATTTGGAATCAAGAACATTTCAAAAGAGTGAGATAGTTGCACAAGAACATTTGTAAGCAGGAAAATGCTACGAAGCTTATTCTTTTCGAGTCAAATAGTTCTCAAACTTTAAATGTGAGTTGAACTATTTGTTATAAAAAGAAGGAAACGCTAATAGAAGTATTATTTCTTGATTAATTTTCTATAAAGCCTCTGCCAAGACTGGCTTCGTAGTTTTTTTCAACCTTTTTCGGCGCCGTCAGGCTAATTCCAAGAAAAAAAGCTCTCGGTCCAGATTGCGAAACAAAAAAATTAGAAAAAAAAATTTTTTTCATGGAAATGTTTCAGGCGCTACCAAATATATATTTCAAAAAAAACCGATTCACTGAACAAAGCGGGGAAAAATTGATTTTACTTTTCACTTTTTTTAAGCCTAATGTAAGTCTTGAGTGCATAGCTTTTTTATCACATCAAACATATCAGTACGATTAAAAAATTGAAGCGAGCCAGTGAACTCCTAAAAAAAACTGCTAGCTAATAAAAAAGACCCACCGAAACGACGAGCGCTGAGGCGGAAATCAGAAGACAGAAGGTGGAGAAGCGCATTTTGGAGCTCGAACTCGTTGATGGTGCCTCTAAGAGTTGAGCCACGTCTTTTATATACTTAGGAGCAAGTTGGTCCTGCCCCACCTCCTCGATATTGATGGCCGTAGGCCGGAAAACCGGATCCGTTTGCACAGTGATCGCTTTTTTAGTGCGGCGCGTCTTATTCATTCACGCTGCCGCCCCGTCTCCATTTTTTTTTTCTTTATTGTTATGCTCCTGTTGGTGGTAATGCGTGTGCTCCTTGGCTTCTATGCCATTCCGGTTTCTGGCCGACTGGTAGAGGCAAAATAGACTTTTTCTACCGACCGGCGTATTTGGAAGGATCGGGTTGGTTTGAGTTATACTTCATTTGGTAAAAAATCAGAAAAAGCTCAAAGATATTTTTTTGAAACTATCCACTTGAAGATCTTGTCTTCTCGGTCCGATAGACATAATAAACGCAGCTTGCAAAATGATAACGCCTAGTTTTATTAAAAATTTGCAGTTCTCATCCCAAACAGTTTCGAGCCCTAAAGTGTGCCTGAATGGATTTTTTTCAACTTTAGAAATAATTTTTAATTACATCTATGTTTTTTTGAAGAAAAAGCAGATATGTGACGTTTAAAACTCTGATATTTCTCAGACCTTTCATGCCCGTCAAGCAAATACTCGGGCAAAGTTGGAATAGTGGATATTGGCCGCTGAAAGGGAGAGGCTCAAAAAAGGCAGCAAAATAAGTCCCTTTATCGAGCCTTCCATTTTTCTGGGGTTTTAAAGGCTTGAAAAATGGTGGAGAAAGGGAGAGGCAGCAAAAAGGGTGCGTATGGGCTGAGAAAATGGCGCAAAAAGGCAGCAAAAAGGGAGCCTTCATCACCCAAAAAGGAACATTTCTATGGAGCCTTTATGGATCATCAAAAAATCTAAATGGTTTTTTCGTCCAATATTTGAGAACATGTGAATTTCGAAAATCCAATTTTTTTTTTCTGTCGAGATCCATTTCATATCTACGGAGCGATACTATGATCCGAACAATATTTGCTTTTTCCTCGGGTCGATTTACACAGTTAAAGGAGCTTTTTGAGCTTCCCCTCCGTGATTCAGACAGTTCTATCCGGTCCAAAGGCAACTGGTATTCATTTCGCGTGAATGTTGTTTGTATGCCAACGGGCGATGGTGGTGTATTTGCGGCCAAGTTTGCTCCCGAAAATGAATGGCAAAAGGTGCCGCCGTGAAGATGAGAAGCGTGTTCAGTTGGACTTTGAGGTTTAGAGAAACAAAATACTCTGCGAAAATTTTTAATATATGAAGTTACAAAAATCATATAATAAAAATATGTTATGTGGAAAATTTCTAATAAATATATTAGAACGAGAACCAAAACTTTAAAAAAACGTTTCAGTTTTCCCAGTGTTCAGAAATTCTCCTTCAACTAATATTATTTATATGGAAAGATCTCCTGAGAGAATGCAACTTTTTGAAAAAAATGAATTTACAATTAAAACGCGTTTAACGCTTGAAAATAATTATTGCTTTTTTTCGGGCAGCTCAGCTCCGTTTCCCAGAGACCCCCCACCCCATTCCTAATTTCTCTTGAAACCTTCTATTTATTACAAAAAGGAATCCATTTATGAAATTTGTAGAATAGTCTATTATCCTGCATTTTGTAACGCAGTATCTCTCCGGGCTAATCTCGATCAATAATCGCGATGGAGCGCACTTGTCGCTATCGCGTGTTTTCTTGGCGAATGGGTCATTCTATTTTTACAGCCCACTTTCGCATTTTGTGAAAGCTTTTGCTCTATTTTTCGTATGGTTAGCTTTGTATTACCAGTTGCAATGAGCTCCTAGGGCAAATTGAGTTTTTTCCCATAAAAAAAAATTTGATAAAAGGTTTTCTTCGAGATCTGATCAACGTTTTTTTTTTTAGAATGGATGGTGTTCAAAGGCGACGGGCTTATTTGAGCCTTTACACAACAGGTAACGTTGCTCATTTTGTTTTGATCATAATTATAATCTTCAAGGCTCCGATTACTCGGATGATGATGTCTCAGTTCTGGTCGAATCAGACGAACAGGATGATCATCTGTCTTTGTCAGGAGATGAAGAAGAGCCACCGGAAGGTGGTCCCATACATTGGGAATACGTGAGTTGATAGCTCTGAGAAAAAGTAGAGTAAAATGAATCATTTTTCAGTGTAGCTCATCGACCGAAGAAGAGTCAGAGCCTGACACAAGTTATCCATTCCGAAGGCTTCCTAGGCGACCGAGGGGAATAGCCAGGCCTTTGGATTTGACGACGAACCAGGCGGTGGTCGGTTCGGCGGATAACGTCAGCGTTTTGTCGTACGAAGAAAGTGATATCGATTCTGAAGAAGACGATCCTATGCTTCTGAATGATGTTGATGTCCAGAGGGCCAGAAACGGTTAGTTTGAAAAAAAAGATTTGAGCAATGGGACGCATTTTAATGAAAAAGAAATGCTGTATAAAGATTGCTGCTGAACCTCAGGGAGCTCTTTAATGAGCCGTTTTCTTTTCTTGTAAAGTAAATGAAGAAAATTTTGACTGTTTTTTAAAGTCTGTAGACGCAAAAACATCTTATTTTTCAAATTTTTTTGTTTATAGAAATTTCCATGAAACATGGTTCGGAAAAATTTCAGAAATCGAACCACTGCCAACACGGGAAGAAATGCTCAAACTGATCCTAGATTACATGGTTTTTCAGTGCCATCGTAAGGTTAGTTTTTTTTTCATAAAGGAAAAATATTCATAATCCAAAATTTCAGCCCGCCGAAACACTTTGCGCCGAGTTTGGTCTTGAATTTCCGCATGAAGAGTTCAAAATCATGGATTTTCGTAGTGATATTAATAATTGTATATTGAGAGGAGACATGAAGACGGCTATTGAAAAAGTTTGCGGAACAAATTTCAGAGTTATTGGTGATTATTTGATTGAAGATAGAAGAAATCTCGCCGAACATGTTGGCTAATAATCAGGAAGTGCGATTTTTGGTTCATCGACAGAATCTGGTTGAAATGATACGGGAAGGGTTAGTTTCTTTTTTTTCAGGATTTTTTGGATTTTAGTTCCGTAGAAGTGCTTCCTTTCATTTTTCAAAATTCTTCCGATTTCACAAAATTTTTAGGCTGATATAGTTTGAATCATGCAACAAATTCAACATAAAAAGCTCACAAACTGAAATAAAAAAATCTCAAATTTGAACAAATTATTTTTTTCTATATATATATTTTTTTCAGCGAAACTGAGCAACCTTTTGGAGTATGCGAGAATAAACCTCGCCTCGGATTTGACATGGAACGACCAACAGTTGGATCAACTGGAGAAGGTTTTCGCGTTGATGGCCTTTGACGTCAAGGACGACTCGCCTTTTCACACCCTCTACGGACAGGAGCAACGTGTCGCTGTTAGTTTGACAACTGGGAACTATAAAAAAAGAAACAAGTTTAGAATGATTTAGCGACTTTTTTTCTTAAAAATTAAATATTTTTCGGTAGAATTTTTGTTAAATTTATTTCTTCAAAAATACCTGTCAAATTGGTAGCACCTTTTCAATTGCAAAAACGGCAGCTCTCGAAATGGCAGCACCCAAAAAAATTTTTCAATCGGCAGAGTTTGAAGTGGCAGCGCCCAGAATCCACTCTCAAAAAATTACTTCGTTGAAATAGCAAGCTCACAGTGGCAGCGCCTGAAATGACAGCTTATCAACTTATAAAGTTCTATCCTCATTCCGTTTTATTCAAGATTTTTGTCCAGCCAAATATAAATTATGAAAAGAAACGCTGTCTCGTCAGTAATTTTCACCTTCAGGGTCATTAATCTAAATTCTAAACAAAAACCGAAATTTCATCTCCTATCGGGAACTTGTAGGTAGCGAAAGCTGTGAATCGGACGTTGATGACGTCGCTGAACCGACACTCGGAGTCGCGGCTCGCCATGATGTTCAAACTGCTCACTTGGGCCAAGTGCGAGCTCATCAGCTTATCTACTGATGATTCTTATGATCCTCTCGAAGTTGCTCACAAACTTTTCGGCGAAAAGAGGGAAATGTTCGTTTTTAAAATATTTTCTTTAAAGAAATTGTAATTTAGTAGTAAAATGCAAACTCCAGAAACACTTTTGACTCCTATTAAATTCTGTATTTTTTGCAACGATCATGGCATAATTCTCTTTAAAAAATAAAGCACCCACTTACAGAGACGCCTTTGCAAATTCGGCAATCGATTTGGACGATCCGTGTGGTACGAGAAGAAATCCACGCTATGAAGAACCAATCGAAGAAACGTAAAAACGATCAAAGGTTTCCATAAAAATAATATCACGATTTTCAGGTCTTCACCATGATCAGAACTCGCCTTTCGTGTAGATAAAGCAATGTAAATCTTTCTTTTTTGATACTTTAATGAATATTATTTGACCCCTTGAATGCAAAGTGTCCACTGGACCAGAGCTCACCAGAGACATCGAGGTTTAAACTAAGTTATTTGTTGATGTCACCCCGGACCTTTAACCTACCGAACGCCCACTCGCAAAACAGCTGTTGCTGTTATTGAGCTCGGACTAGGACTAGATGATCAAGTGAAGAAGTAGAAAAAAACTGCTTATTGAGCATCTGAGAAACTTCTCCAGAAAAAATATAGCGCCTACAAAGAACTAAATGAATTCCGCGTATGGGACAGATCAATCGCATTCAATTTACCCTTTGTTTTGTCCCTTGCAACTAATCCCGAGTCAAAAGTATCGATTCAGCAAATGCTGTATACATCTGGTTTCGAAATCTGTGTTGAAATCGCGAATCGGCTGTGGACCCCTCCTCGGCAAAGAAGTTTTGTTGTAAAGTGTCGGTGCCAGGAGGCAAGGACATCCTGAAGCGTCCTGTGCTCCACGGATAATGTTTGTTGTGGTGATTTTCTCGCTTTTCGGCCCACTCGCCTCGGTCCTCTCGGCTTCTCCTGCAACTGTTCGCCGTTGCGAAAACCTACGCCCTCAGCGCTGCCGTCTCTTACAGCCGCCGTTCTGGCCTTGTTTTCTCGGAAATCCGCCGCTTCTCAGTTTATTTTTACAGTTTCGGGACTTTCAAAAGCGTAGTTTTCCGATTTCGTGTTCAAAATATCTTTAAGAAATGTGAAATACTCGCCAGAGAGATGAGAAAACTAGAAATTTGCAATCAGGGATAGAACTCCGCGAACCTAATTTGAACACGGCATGAGCTTTAATTGGGATCAGAACGATGTTTCGACTAAAATCAATATCCTATTTTATGGCTACGTATATGAACAGACTTGATGAACGATGAAAAAAATTTACTTTGCGCGACAAAACTTTTAGTTATAAAACAATTTCGCAAATAAATTCAGGAAACACGATTTGCAAAAATAAATATTAAACGTTGCAGTTTTTACACTTCAAATAAATACTTGACTTTGATTCAAAACGGAATAAAACTCCAAGTTGCAAAAATTTGCAAAATTTATATAAAAAAATTGGATTTTTCAATTATTAAAGGCGCATGAAGAAAGCAACTTTCTTTTCCCACAGCGCGTTTCCAAATTTTGCTCTATGGAGAATTTTTTTTATTTCCATCGCCGCCTTTTGGCTCATGTCATCTTTTTCGTTTTTTTTTTCTTCTATGGCGTGTTCATCGGACAAAACGAAAATTGCTTCGAAACGCAAAAAATTGCTCCAAAACAAAAATTAGCACTGTTTTGGAGCAACTTTGGCGCGTCGATTAACACGATTTTTCGTTTTGAAGCATGTTCTGTTTCTCCGATGTACACGCCACTTTCTTTTGCGTTAAGTTTTATACTTTGTACAAAAGTTTGAGCTGGAGCGCCAACATTCGTATATACTACGGTCACGAAAAGTTCGAGGAGACAATTCTATATTTTGTCATAGATATAGTCTGCGCATTTTAATTACCCTCAATGATTCTATATATGACCTGAAAAAACTATATATATTTAGCTAATAGCTGTTCAAAAAGCCTTGTATTTTCGTTTGACAGTATAATTCAAGCTGATCCACCGCAGGCGTATTTCGAAAGTCCAATCTTTTTGAATATTCCCGCCACGAAATGTCGTGTTCGTTTTTCTTCGCGCTCTTTCTTTCTTCTCTCTTTCTCTCCACGGCCGCCTCTCTTCACTCATGAATCGAGCGCTGTTGTGCGGTCTTGCTGTCTTTTTGTTCGTTTTTTGTTGTTCATTTTGAACAAGGAGCTCTATTCAGCATCAAGTTGATTAAAATTTTCAGTGCTTTCTAAACATGTATTTTAAGTTTGAAGAAAGCTGAATTTTTTTCTCCAAGAATTTTTATAGAAGAATAAATTTGCAGTTTAGTTTGTGAAATTTTGCTTTTTTTTGTGTTTTCAATATGGGAATCTTTTGACTCGACTTTAGGCGTTGGAATCTTACTTCAAATTTTAGTCACATGGAAATGTGGAAATTTATATTTAGCCAGCAATGTTTTCTACTTAACAGAAGTTCATAATTTTCACAGCGCCATTTGTGTATTTTTAAAGAAAATGTCAGTTTTTTTGGGCCTTTTTGTAGGAATAGAATCGCCGCGCCGGGCGGTGCTGGCGCGCTCCTGGCTAAAGGGTCAGTGAGTCACCATTCCTTCGTCGTTTCCTCGCCCCTTTGCCTTCGTTCGCTTTTTGACGATTCTTTCCAGGAATCCAAAATTGCGCCTTCGATGAAACAATTCGTGTTTGTTGAGAAATAATTTCTCACGTATGATTTAATTTCAATGGAGTTTTTTTTTGTTTGCCTGCTTCATATAAAAGCGATGTGTTACCCCTGGAAAGTCATACTCTCATAATCTTGTCGGTGAGTGTTTATTCTTGTTAACAGTAGAACGAAAAAAAGTTTTAATCGGAAAAAGCTTTATTTTTCTATTTAAAGACGCAGCATGGCCTAAATTAAAGTTGAAGAAAATAATCACGTTTTATTCACTTTTCAAAAAAAGTTCAGTTGCTGCGAATTATTTTTTTGTATTTCAAAAAAAGTTTTGAGTTTTTTTGAGTCGGAGCGAAGTCTAGATTGCAGAAGAAACTTTTTTAACTTTTCAAAAAAATATCCTGCTGTGCTATAGAAACTCCAGTGCTGTTTTTTTTTTCCGAATTCTCTTTTAAATCTTCCCTCACCTCCATCGTTAATTGTTGTGTTTGTTTCTTTGAAAAAGGATGAGACCTCAAACTATCGATCGACTTTCTTCGTTTTTCAAACGATGCGCGGAAGGGCCCTACGAGAGTGCGTACAACAGCACACATCTGTCACTGGCTGTGCAATGCTCCGCCGCCACTGCGGTCAACTGCCGTGGCCTTGGCGATTCCGTTCAACGACACTCTTCGATGGGACCCTTCCACTTTGAATTGTTTTTGATTTTTATGTTCAGAGGCAGTCTTTGTAGGTCTTTTTCTCATGTCTCTTTGTTTTACTCTTCGGCCTGTGAATTCGCTGTCAAGCTTGAAAATGTGGTTTTATAGGTGAAAGTTGGCTCCAATGATTCCCAGGGACCTGCAGTTACGAAATTTAAATCATTTGATGACGAATCCTAACTACTCCAATTCAAAGAATCATTTAAATTTGCAAGCATTTAGAAAAAAATCGTCTTTCCATTTTGGCCAGCCTATCTACCTTCTTTCAACAAATTTGTTTCAATTTCTCAAATATGTTGAGCGTCATGATAATGTACATAATCGTCTTGAAGGGATGATTTTTTTTTTTTTCTGCAGATAGAAAAAAACGAACTATTTTTATTTTTATCATTGCATCATGACGTATTCGAAAAAAAAAAGTTTGTATGAGATTTTTTTCACTTCAAAACATTCATTTTCTATAAGGATCATGTTTATCATGATTTCGAAGAATTTATTCTTTCTGAACACGATTGTTTATGAGTTCGAAGTCTTCGAAACATTTTCCCAGCATGCGCCTTCAAATGAGTCACAAATTTTCGAAAGCGATTTTCACCGTTTCCTGGTGTCCGTTTTCACTCGTCATCGTCGTAGTGCTTTTCTTTTTTTTTTTCTTCTCATGCAACTCCGTGGAAGTGGGTTGTGGGATATGGACGGCTCGGAAAGACTGGATCTTCTGGACGCGACGCGATATGGCCGCTTGTGTTTGTGCACAATCAATTTTCCGCCTCCACCAACTCGAGCCTTTTTTTTGCGTGTGCTTTTTTTTTATGTGATTTTATGTGTAGCTTCCTTTTCATCGCCATCCAGTTTGATTAGGTGAATGAAGTTTGAAATCGTAGAAGACATTTCAAACACAGTTTCAATTTCACTTTCAAAGAAGCTCTTTCTGCTTCGTGCCTATGAATTTTAGTTAACACAAAACTCGAGTAGTAGGCCCCTCAGGCCTCGTCGCGTTCTGTTTCTCTTTTTTTTTGTCTTTTTGTTGTTTGCTGCGCGATCGAGGCTAAGTCGTGCGTTGCATACGCTTTCGCGTGTGGTTCGGGTTGGGTAGAGGTCGGTTTGGTTTGGCTGGCTGCGGAATGTTAAGTGGAGATTATTGCTCCTCCAAACCGTTTGGCGTCGTCCTACGCACGTTTTTGTTGCTTCCAAAAAGTTAGAGTTTCAGCTAGTTTGTCTGGTTTTCCAGCTGTTTCAACTCTTGAATTTATGTTGAAATTTTTTCGCAAACACAATTATTTTTTCTCGTTTTGTCGAAGAATCAGTAAAAAACTTTCTTTTTCTAGAAGGCCAAACATCGGAGAAAATTAGGATTTTTTTTGAGGAAATTCAATCTCTTTCACTTTTTAGATTCATCGGAAGTTGTTCTCACGTTCAAGAAATAATTTCATTTTTATGTTGTTAAAAAAACAAAAAAACGTAATATCTTTGACAAAAGGCAAAAAAGTCGCTGAAAGCTCTGAAATGTCTTGAATCATTGTTTTTCGAAACATACAAAAGCCTCCGCAATGATTCATTGTCCATGAATCGCTTTCCCAATTTTTCTGTATTTGTTTGCCACTTGCTAAAATCATTAAAAGCTTTATTTTTGATAAAATCAACGTGAGATATCTCACAGTGACTCATTATGCATTTTCAAAACTTTGTTTTTCGATCCTTATCTTACGACGTCACCCACGTTTATCGTTATCGAAAATCAACAAACAACTCGCAGTTAGTTCTCTCGGACATTTGGGATGGCTCACTTCTTTTATCGATTGATTTTTTTTTTTCGTGTTTGCTCACCCTCATTCCGCGTTCATCTTACCCTTCGCGTGTTCGAATTTAATTGGCTTCAATTTCAGGAACCCAGTTCTCAACTAATCTACCCAGTCAGCAAAAATGGTAAGCTCGTCGGATTAAACTTGATTATAAAAAATTAGCTTTTCTGGATATAAATTTTCGTGTGTGTTTGGCATGGTTTTCTGAACCGAAGACTGTTGAACTGGACTTTTTAACAAATTTTGATTAACTGAAAATGTGAATGGTGTGCGTCTTTCTTGACTAACTCGACGTTCTAGTCGACTTCCGGTGTTATGGTCAACCCTGGCGTCCAGTCGACGTTCCAGAAGCTCAGCGAGGGCCGCAAAGAGTACAGATACATCATCTTCAAGATTGAGGTACTTCGAGGCACCGATTTTTGAAAAAGTAGTTTTCCTATCAAAGGAGCGCGAGGTCATCGTCGAAGCCGCCGTGACTCCCGAAGAGCTTGGCGTGACTGGAGACGATTATGAGGACTCCTCCAAGGCCGCCTTCGAGAAGTTCGTGGCCGATATCAAGGTTTGTAATGAGAAAACTTGGAGCAACAGATGTCAGAACAAAAAAAAAAAATCAGTATGAGACTTTGATGGATGTCACTCAAAATTCCTATTTTCTTAAAAAAATTTTTACTGTTCTTTGAACTTATTCAGTTGAAAACCTTTTCAAATGCTGAAAGAAGTTTTTCTCTCTTTGTGGTTTTGAAAATTGCCATATAAGCTTTAATCAATTTGATTCTTGTGTAAATTCTGATAAGATCCAATGAAATGATGCATTCTATGAAAATTGTTTGAAAGGAATTATTAGTTTCAATCATCTTTTAAGAACCGTTTTGAAAGGGCTCTGCAACAGCCGAAGTATTAATAATTCTAAAATTTTTCTGTTTGATCTTCAAGCATGGAATCTCATTTTTCCACGCTGATATAAACAAGTATTCCGGAAAAATTCAAAAAAACGGTTTTTCGAATAGTTCAATTAATAAATAGAATTCTTAAGATGGTTTCGGAAAAAAATTTTTCCCGAAAAAGAAGGAAATAAATGTTTTTGAAATTTTATATAGATAATCATTTGATTTTTCCATGTTTGAAGTTCCATTCATTCTCCTAGCATCAAACAGTTTCATATCGTCGTAAAGTGTTACAGTAATTTCAAAAATTCTAGCCATTTTTTTGTCTTACATTTTTGGTGTTTTCAGCAGCGCACGGCCGACCTGACCGATTGCCGTTATGCCGTGTTCGACTTCAAGTTTACGTGCAGCCGCGTCGGCGCCGGAACCTCCAAGATGGACAAGATCGTCTTCCTTCAAATGTAATTCATTTTTTTTTCGACTGTCAACAGTAATAAAATTCATTTTCAGCTGCCCTGATGGCGCCACGATCAAGAAGAAGATGGTGTACGCTTCGTCGGCTTCGGCCATCAAGGCCTCACTTGGAACCGGCAAGATTCTCCAGTTCCAGGTATGTGTTTTTCTGTTTTTCAATAGGTTCTCAGCGATTAGGGATGCTTTGAAATCGAGTCAAAGGTTCTGATTCCACAAATTAACATTTTTTGAAAACTTTTCAAAGCTTATTAACTCTGAAGTTCAAAGTTAAGAAGCTCATGAGTGATTTCCGAAATTTGAGCCGGAAAAAACAGCTCCAGAGCTTTTCTACTTGAATGTGCACTTAATTTCCATTGAAAATTGAACTGAAAACGGAACTTTTTAGATTTTGTGAAGTCAGGTTCGAAGTTTCAGGACTTACTGCTCGGTTTCTTTACATTTGAACTCTCAATAGTCTCTTCATAAACCTTGAGTAACCCTAAGAGGAACAGTGCTCTAAATTTGAGAGATATTTTCACTTTTTGTCATCAAAACGGTCAGCAAAAGACAAGTTTTTCTGAATTATTGCACGAAGTAGCCAGCAAGAAAGAACTTCCTGTTATTCAGCTGTAAACCGGCATTTTTCTAACCAGGGAACGTTTTTTACCTCCCGGTTGAACTTTTGCTGAAATTTTGCTGAAGTGTACTTTAGGACCTCCTGATTCTAGAACAAAAAAAAACAATTTCTCGCAATAGATCTTCTTTACGAGTTATGGAGCTTTAAAGTGTGCGAAATACGCAAATTAGGCCAAAAAAGCGCTATTTCGGGCATTTGAAGTGTCCTAACTCGAAAACGAGATCTACTGCGAGAAATTTTCTTCTTGTTCTAGAATCAGGGAATCCTAAAGTACACTTCAGCAAAGTTTAAGCAAAAGTTCAACCGTAAAAAACGTTCTCTAGTAAGCTGAAATATTAAAAATGAAATTCGAAATTCACATGTAAATCCTTTGCAGATCTCGGACGAATCCGAGATGTCTCACAAGGAGCTGCTGAGCAAGCTGACGGAGAAGTACGCCGACAACTAGACGGCGCCCAATTCACTTAATTAATTTAACAAATTCCTTCGCGCGGGGCCTTCTTCTTTTATTTCCTTTTTTTGCATCATCCTGGATTGGACTTTTTCCCCTCCTCGAGCATGTTATGTTTTTGTATGTGAGATAAACTTTGCAGCGAATGTGGTGTTTTTGGATTTGAAGTGTGGATTTGTGTGTGTTCTTGTTGTTTTCCTTCATGGAGGTGTGCCAAAAAATTATTTTTTGTTTGGCGTTTTTGATGGTTGAAATGGAACAAAAGCTTGGAGAAGAGCATTTCGAGCAATTTTGAAATTTCTCTGCTTCATGAACACTTTTCATTTTGAAACTCTTTAAAAATCAAAAATTGCTTTCTTTTCTTTCTGATTTTACTCCGTTCTAACCGTTAAAATCGTCATTAACTTTCCTTATAACTGTTATTAAACTTTATACTGGTCTGTTTCGTAAATTAGATCGTTTGTGCCAAAAACTTGATTGAAATCAACCAACATCACATTTTTCACTACCCATTCCCATTCTCCTCTTGTTTCAACTTTTATTTTTTCGTATAAATTCAAAATTCGCTCGAGGCGTGTTCCCTTTTTATACCTTATTTCTTATCTTATCGGTGCGACGAAAACGAATTCTCTTAATTTAATATTTCAAGTATTACTATCATGCCCCCCGCACTTTTCATCGTTTGAATATCTGAGCTTTTCTCGTTTCTCTATGTTTCTTCTCGTCTTGTGTGTTTAACTAACTAAACTATTTTTGATTTTCCTCGCGGGTTCTCGTTTCGTGTGAAGAAAATAACAGTAAACAATGCTGTGGAAGGATTTTTAATTCACTGAAGGGGTGATATTTTTATAACAAAAAAATTTAAAATTGATTAAAAAAAATTTTTTTGCGAGATTCCCTTGAAGTCGATTATCAATTGGGGAACGTAGTTTGAATAATACATTTTTCATGAAATTCTTTTTCTTTTCAGTTTTTCCCATTTTTTTAAAGGGTCCTTTTTAATGGTTTGAAAAACTGATGCTCTGAAAAATTTCTAGAAAAATTTTTTTCAAAAGAGCTTTTGGGGCGATTTTTCGAGTAGAATCTAACCAAGAAAATAACTTTTTTGAATGGTTTATTAACATTGTTTGGTTTGAAAAAAAGATCCAGACAGGAAAAGAATCATTTTAATGATGAAAGTAGCCTTTCAGTCCCTAGGTATATTGAAAGAAAGCTGACTTTCTGAACTTCTCAGGCCTCTGGAGTCAAGGTCGATTCGTCGTGCAAAACGGCCTACGATGAGCTGCACAACAAACACAAACACAGCTACATCATCTTCAAGGTTTGCAAATATCTGAAGTATCGGTTTCTATTGAAAAAATCGGTTTTCAAAAATGAAAGTGAAAGAAAAATGCAATTAAAAGCGCTATTGGGAAAATTTTAGGTGGCCACTTTAGAGGCTAGCCAAGGACTACTTGGAGTGGTCACTATTTCCCGTTTTAGTGGCCACTTCAATAGTTTTTCATCCAGTATTCCTTCCAATAACTCTGGTAATTTTGAAACAAACAGATTGGACCAGTTATGTTGATCCAATGACCCCTAAAGTGGCCACTAAAATTTTTATTGGTCTAGTAGTAGTACTTAACCTCTATAGTGGCCAGTAATTTTTAACCCCTTAAGTGGCCACCAATTTGACTACTATAGTGGCCACTAAAACGTCAAAACCTTATAGTAGCCACTAAACATTTTTCCCAGTATATTTTCTTTTTATTACGTCTAATTTTAAACAGAACATTTTTTCATCATTTCAAAACGAAAAGTGATATTAACCTGAAAGTTATGTAACCTGGGATATCTCATAAAATTATTGTAGGGATTTTTGATAAATTTGCTATATTACAAAAAAATAAACTTTTAGGATCAGTATTTACTTCATGCAAATTTTTAAATGATCCTTTTTTTAAATAAAAAAAGGCCGGAATCTTGATTTAAGGCGAAATTTTGGGGAAAAATCTTGATCTTTGTAATTATTTTTTTCGCTGAATTTTTCTCATCAAATCTTGAACAATTGATTTTTTTCAGATCGACAAGAACGACACGGCGATCGTCGTGGAGAAAAGTCGGTGAGAAGGCGGCCCCCTATTCGGAATTCGTCGAGGAGCTGAAGAAATTGGTCGAGGGCGGAAAGGAATGCAGGTAGAGAACTCTTTTCGATTAATAATTTTCCTTGAAGTTTTGAAAATTATTCAAAATGACAAAAATTTGAAAAAAAAAATCAACTAAAACTTCGCTCGATTTGAAAATATCGAGAGATCATTTGGAATAGTAAAAGGATGTTCCACAGAAAGCCCCTTGGGGGGTCCCCTCTAGTGAACACTTTGCCAACTCCTACAGGGGTTACTAAGGCTTGCAGAAGTGGTCCCTATAGGGGACATGTTAGTCGATAATTATTATAAACTCTAAGAGCAGAAGCATTTCCATGCGAAAAACTGAATAAACAAGCTTTTGAATGAAATTGAAAGACCCCTATAGGGACCACTAATTAGGGGCTACGGGGTCACACCCTAAACGCCTATAGGGGTCACCTTGATTTTACCCCTATAGGTACCATTTTTTCTGCCTCTATATAGGTTTTTTTCTCCCTAGCCCCTATAGAGATCACTCTAAAATTCTTAAGATAGATGAGCTAGTACAGGAAAAGGGGTCACATGACAAAAAAATATTCAAAAAAATATAAAAAAAAATGAATAATCTTTAAGCTCAGGAAGGTGGAAAATAAATTAGAACTTCGAATAATTTTTTTGAAAAAAAACTTCTAAAAATTTAGGGGGATGAAGACCTCTAAAAATGCTCTTCCCATGTTGAAAAGGGATTTTTGTCAAATATTCCGCCCAAAAGGAACATCTTGAAGATATGCTGCCGTTGATGTCGAGGTGACGGTTCAGCGACAGGGCGCTGAAGGCGCCAGCAAGCTCTCCAAGGTCATCTTCGTCCAGTAGTGAGCTCCTTTTATCGATTTATATCTCACCAAGAAAACTTATAGTGATCCTTATATAGTTCAAAAAAGGGACGCGATTCTCAATTTTTTAAATTTTTTTCATGAACTCTCTATATGATACAATGGGTAATAGGAAAAAATGAACGAAAACGATATTAGTTGGCAAAAAAACCTTTGGAAAGTTGTGAAACAAAATTCAGCTACCCCTTTTTCAAAAAACTTTTCAATGTGTATTGTAGGATTTAAATAGCGATCTTTTCGGAGCGAGCTCAAAAATCGCATTTTCAGCTGCCCGGATGAGGCGCCGGTCCGCCGCCGCATGCTCTACGCTTCTTCCGTCAGAGCACTCAAGGCGTCACTTGGCTTAGAGTCGCTTTTCCAGGTTTGTTGCATATGTTTTTCAATGAGAGCTAGAAATTCCTCTCTAAAAAAACGTTCTGAACTTGTTGTAGCCTTTAGATCAAGTTCATAACGTTCTCGGACCTTGGTAACGCGAACGGGACGCTAATCGGACGTGTCGGAGCATTTCTAGTGACCACTTTAGTAGCCTCAGCACTCTTAAGTGATCCCTTGAACCGCCCAGAAACGTCCGGAGCACGTCCGTTTCGCGTTACCTATGTCCGAGTTATCATTAATATTTTGAATGAAAAGTTGGAAATATATAATTTTTTTAAAAATGAAAGGAAAGTATGGACATTTTAAAAATGCGAGAAGAGTATCACTAGAATCTTTTTGAAGGATATTTTAAAAAAAACAGAAAAAAATTTCGGTTTTTTTCAACGACTAACGGAACATTTTGAGAAAATGTCAATTTTTCCAGGTGCAAAGCCTCCGACATGTCCGACCTCGACGAGAAAGTCATCAAGAGCGACCTGATGGCCTCCCAAAGAACCTAAGTCCCTTCTCTGTTTCAAAAAAGACCCACAAAATGGCTGGTCTCTGTGTGCCTTGACAATGATAGTTCAGCCTTTTTTCATGCTTCTTAAAACAAAAAATTTTTTCGCGATTATAACTTATGTTTGTATCTTTCTGTCCTTTTCTCTTTATTTGATAAAGAATCGATTTTCATATTTTGTTGGCAAGAAGTTTTCCGTTGAATCCTATCATAGAGCCGTCCATCTGGTGGAAATTGATGAGGATCTGAAATTTTTTCCAATCGGTTTCTATAGAAATGGGAGATTTTTTCGTGGCCACTGTAGGGGGTTTTCAAGGACTACTTGGAGAGGACACTAAAACCACCTCTATAGTGACCACTTTAGTAGTTTTTCTATGAGTTTTCTCCTAGCATTTTTGAAAATTTTTAGTGGGTAGTAGCACCACTTAGTGGTCACTATAGGGGTCTAACTGTTAGTCCCTATAGTGGCCACTAATTTGACCACTAAAAAATTTCCCAGAAGTACGAGTTTTTTAAATTTTGCTTTTCCAGTGCCCAATTTAAAGCTTGAAATATCACTATAAAAGAGCTTCAAATTTTTCCTCAATCATTTAAGTTTTTGCTTTTTAGGAAAAATATATCAAGTATCCACTCGTTTTCTTGAAAGGCCATAAAGAGGCTACTGGAAAACTTACCTTTTCCTTGTCCAACTTCAAGCTTTCTTTGAGGAATTTGCAAATCGCGTCGATATGCTTCTGATTTTCCTCTCGGGACACTCCGCCGTTTGAAGTTACCTCAAAAATGTCTTAAAATCCAGTTAATAGTGAATGAAATACATTCACGAGGGCCAGGGGTTCGTTTGAAAGCCCCTGGGACAATCTGGCTCCTGCGGAAATCTGAAAAATCGATCAAGTTTTGGAAATTGAGGGAAAAATCACGTTGTGAAAGTTTTTCAATTAAAATTGTATACTCGGACAAAACGGACGTGCTCCGGACGTTTCTGGGAAATTCTAGGGATCTCTTAAGAGGGCTGAAGCTACTAGAGTGGTCACTAGAAATGCCCAGTCTTTTTTTTCACCTCAACGAACATCCAATCGACTGGTTTTCCCATCGAATTCGCGACCACTTGAGCCAATTTGTACTGAAAACTACCATCATCTTTTTTCCTTTTGATTGATTTTTCTTACCTGAAAATCGGCCGAAATTTCGCTGGAATCAATGTTAGTTGTTAATTTGATGACCGGCATCGTTCTTTGAAAAGTTGAAAAAATCATTTATTTACATTATTTATCAAAGGGAATTATTTGACACGGAAAAAAGAGTTATTAAAGCAGGTGGACTGGAAATCGCGAGAATGATAAGCTATCATTGAATGGAAACGTGCAAGAAAAAAATGTTATCGTTCATTCAAAATTTAAATTTTTTTTCAAAGAAGGCACTTTTTAATTTTTCAAAAATTCTCAAAAGGCTTTAGAGACGCAAAAAAACGCGTCAATCACAATTTTTTCAAATTAAAGTTTTTGTTTTGATCCCTAAGAATGCAGAGAGGACCGAAAAAGAGCTATAGAAAAATAAATTCGGGCAAAGTCGGAATGGTGGAAAGTGGCCAGAGAGGCTCAAAAAAGGTCGCAGAAAGGCAGCAAAGTGAGTCCCTTCATGAAGCCTTCCATTTTTCTGGGATTTCAAAGGGTCAAGAAATGGTGGAAAAAGGCGACAAAAATGGTTTAAAAAGGCTGAGAAAATGGCGCAAAAAGGCAGCAAAAAGGGAACATTTCTATGGAGCCTTCCAGCAGCCTCGGAGAGTCCTTCCGACTGTGCCTATGGAAAAAAAAAACAAAATGAAGAGATATGTGGGTAGAAGAATGTAGAGCAAAAAGATAACAATCAGAAAAGAATCGATCACTGTCGACTACGCAGCCTCATTCTCCTCTGACGCAACGCCTTCAGAAGACGTCGTCGTTTCAAGAAACTGTCAAGTTGTTGATATCGTTCGGCGTTCATTCCAGGAGGTCCGTAGTGAAACTCGGGTGGCGGTGTCGCCGAAGGAGCCCCGACCATGTCGAAAAGGTCGGCGGCGTTGATCATGGGCGGTCCTGGCGGTGGGGTCGGTCCTAAAGAAGATTTTTATAAGGAGGTGTACTGGGAGCTGCAAAAGAAAGGTACTCAGGAATTCCAGAGTGGTCCCTATAGGGATTAAGGGCTGAAAAAGTGCCCATACAAGGGTAACTGGGAGGTGGTCCCTTTAGGGGTTTAGAGCCTGACCACTTAGTCTCTGAAGCTCAAGTGGTCCCTATAGAAATCTTTTAATTTCATCAAAAAACGTGTCAATAATTAAAACCCCTATATGGATTTTGTGAGCTTTAGTGGCCTTTATAGGGGTTGAGGGCCGAAATAGTGCTCCCTAAAGGGTTTTGGCGCCTGATCCCTTACCCCCTAAAGCTCAAGTGGTCCCTATAGAAGTCTTTCAGTTTCATCTAAAAACGAGTCAACAATTAAAACCTCTATGTGGACCGCTTTTGTGAGCTTTAGTGGCTCCTATAGGGGTTTCTAGAGGGACCACTCTGGAGACCCTAAGTGATGCAAAACTCAAAAAAAAGCCACTCTTTTCCTGAATAAAAGTTTGAAAAGAAACTCTTTCAACCCACCGTTTCGCAAGAAAACGAGTGTCGGAGCTGGTTCCGACACTGATGGCCCTGAAGGTGCTGCTGGTTCTGACATCATTGCTCGAGGTCGAGTACTCGGCGGCGATGGTTCCATCGGTTCCTCTTTTTTCGGCTCGATGTCCGCTCCCAATTTGATGGGTACGGCCTGGTAGAGCTTCTGCGGGATCATCACCACGCGTTCCAGCGGGTTCGATTCCTCAAAAAAGGTCATCAAAGTTGAAAAATTCGGAAATAATATGGATGACCAACATAGGCAAAGTCGGAAAGGGTTTCATTTTGCTGCCTTTTTGGGCAATTTCATCGGCTCTTATGCACCCTTTTTGCTTCCTCTTCCTTTTTCTCCATTTCTTGAGTCTTTAAGATTCCAGAAAAAATGGAAGGATCGATAAAGGGACTCTTTTTGCGGCCTTTTTTGAGCCTCTCCTTTTTGGCGACCATTATCCACCATTCCGACTTTGAAAAATTCATAAAAATATTCAGGTACACTTGAAAGTTTCTTTCCTTGCCTTAGGACACTCCTCCGGCAAAACGCAATGCCTCAAGTCGTTTCTCAGGAATCCGCCACGGCAAACGCAGCCAGGAAGGCAATTTTCGCACTTCTAAAAAATTTAGAGTTGCTTCATGGCACTAATGTATAAAATAAGAAAACTGAGATTCTTTCAATTTGAAGAATAAAAAGATAAAAAAGTCGTATGGATTGAAAAATCACCAAATCTGGGGCAACACAGGACCGATCACACGCACAGTTCGAAAATTCCATGAACGGAGGACAGAGGGCTGTAATTTAGTCATTCAATCAAACTTTCTGATTAGAAATTTCAAATGTTAAAATTAAATATTTTTCTGTTTTTCATAAATGTTTTTTTAGAAACTTACTGGGCTTGATGAATTTCAGCTCGGCGCTCGGACCGATTTTCAACTTCTGCAGTCGAACTGACAACTTTGTCTTGTTCACTTTCTCGGTGAATTTGTAGTTGTAGCCTTTGAACTTGGGAATATCGAATGCGTGGACGAGTAAGACAGCTGCAGAAGCGAGAAGTAACGTCTGAAAGTTATTAAACTGAAAATTAAAAAAAAAATTTTTTTAAGAAAAAATATTTAGGAAGTACTTCGAAGTATCGAATATTCATTTGGTAGAAAATTTGACAAACCGTTTTTGATAACATTGATGAGAAAAAAGTGCTTTTTGAAGTTTCGGACCTGAGAAAAAACTAGATCTACAAGTTAAACAGTCCTTGACTCTTTTTCCGGTGCATAACATTTTGGCCTCCTTCAAACCTTCTTAGTGGCCACTATAGAGTTTTGAAGTTTTAGTGGCCACTATAGTACTCAAATTAGTGGCCACCCAAGCGGTTAAAAGAGGTGGATTTAGTGGCCACTAAACATTTTCCCAGTTCATACTCAAGATCATTTGGTCGAACAGAAAAAAAATTAAACGTCGAAGGTTTTTCAATTTAAATTCACTTAATTGCAACATCACCATACCATCCCGATGTTGCGAAAAATAAACAAATTGATTGATTGATAAAATTGGAAGAAAATGAATGAAAGTGTCTTCAAAAATTCGAATCAACTTGTTTCACCTTGTGCATCCTCCTCTGTCAGTGTCGAACAGTTCACAGAAAACGAACAGAACAGAATACAGATGACCGTCGAGGTGATTCAGAAGGAAAAACGAGGAAAAGAAGAAGACGTCGGCGACTCGTAAAAGTGGGATAAGTGTTTGAGGAGGAGGAAGGTGGACCCTGTAAATCGGTGTAGGAATATACTCGGTTGCAACTGTACCAAGGGAAAAGTGCGAACATTTCGAGAAATTCACAATGGCCGTTCCATTTACTCAAGGACGCCGCCATAGGCATACACACTGGTTCGGGGGGATATGAGAAATGGCCGAGGGAACACGGTTTTGAACGGGAAATGGTTTCAAAAAGGTTCTAGAAGAAAAAAAGGGCAGAAAAAAGGCCAGAATGAGGTTCAAAAAAAAGTATGAATGTTCTCATTGAAATCTAATAAATATTTCAAAATTTCCTTGAAAGATTTGAAAGATGTATTTTCCAATTCCTTTCCAAAAAACTTCAAGAATGCGGCTATTATTTCCAGCTTCGATCTTTGAAATATTATTTAACTCGAGTCTTTTTTGAAGTTCTTCTCAAATTAACGATGGAAAAAAACAGTCTTTGGACAAATTATTGAAAAATTAACATCTCTGAAAGGTTGGAAAAAGAACTGAAAGAGAGCCAATGCCAAAAAAAGACCTGTCACTGGAAAATAAATCTTAGAAAGTCAATAAGTTGAGACAAAACAGCCGCAAAATAGTCTGAAACGGTTCGCTCTATTGCCAGTTTTTCGAGAAAAAGGTAAATCCGCAACAGGAACTCGAAAAAAAAGACGTTTACTCTGACTTTTATGCAACACCATCCCAGAAGAAAGTATCGGTTCCACCAATACCGAAGCACGAGCGCGGGCGGCGGTATTTTGGATTAACAATCGGATTGCGAACCAGTTCTGTTCCTTAACTTTCGGGTCAGCCAGTAATTAATCAACGTGTAACGAGAAACATGTGTTGGTCGGGTACTGGATTTGGAGTGAAAGTTAGTGTCGAAAAAACTGAGTGTGAGAAACTTTTCTTATAACTCATTAACTTGGGGGGTCATTTTACTTTGCGGTTGGAAATTCTGAACACTCCTTGATGTACCAGAAGAAGAATCTAAAAGTCTCAACCTGCCGAACTTCCTAGTTTTCGAGAAATAAAGGCTCGAGGCCTCAAAATGGCCTATTTTAACTCATTTTGAGATTTTTCTTTGACTTTGAGGCGCCTTTTCTCAAAAAATAGAAAGTTTAGGAACTTTTTCTAGTACAAAAATCAGCGTTCTGGCCAAGTTTCAGAGATTTCCCAACCGCAAAGTAAAATAACCTTCCTTGTAAAAAAAAAAAAAATATAAATTTCCAGGTTTCAACGAGTCAATTTTCATCAGAATTCTCAATGTTTCTGAAATAAAAATTTTTTCGATTAAGCTTGAAAATGAAGCTCCGAGTGAACTACAAAAGTCAGAAACTTTTGTAAAAAAGAAGGGATATTTCCTCGAAATATTCAATCTCAACTTTTTTTGAAAAAAGGACTGTTAGAAATTCTAATGTGGAAAAACGATCTACAAGACTACAAGAAACGAATAAATTGGGTCTTGAATCAAATAAAAAAATATTGAAACGTATGGCTACTTGTTTTGCAATGAAGGCTAGACTATCGATATTGAGCTTCCTTTATTCAACCTTTCTTTTTTATGTAACTGAAGTCGAAATCGAAAACTTAAGAAAGCTGGTTTAAACGTATTTTCAAAGCTTAGAAGCTGGTAAATTTGAAAAAAAACTAATCAAGACAAGGCTCATGAATGGAGTAAAAAATTAAACCGGATTCCGACTTTGTTCAGAGCTTGAAAGGACAAGAAAGCTTAGAAGTGCCAATTCTGGTCTTCTGTTATAAAATGAACCTTTCAAACTACTCAACTGAGAAAAAGTACAAAGTCATAGGAATCCCAAGGCCATCAGTTAACAAAGAAAAACAAATGAGCGATGATCCTTCATTTCGGAGAATGAATCGGCGCGGGAAGAAAGAGATAATAAAAAATGGAAACAAACGAGATAACTATGGGTGGAACGCCTTTCTCACATCGCCAAATTTCTCGATCCGACGATGATTGGAAAACGCGGATGATGTCGCGTTTTCGCGATGGCAGCCATTTTCCCGAGAATCAGCTGCTTCCCTTTGATTGTTATTGGAAATGCAGTTTTGTGTTGAAAATAGAAAGGCTTTAAAAAAGGAAATCTTCTATCGAAAAAGGCTTCTCTTCCGATAGGCAATTTTTTAGCTATATAAATGGATCTTCCAGCTAGTCCAGCCGATTTTTCGCATCCTAATGGCATGCCAAAGCGAAGGCAATAACGCAAATGACATATTTGGACATATAGATCAAGTTATTGAAAAAAATTTATTTGAACTGGATAATAACATGCCTCCGTTCTAGGGAATATTTTGAAGTTCTAAGTTTTATTTTTAAGAAAAATTCAATGCGGATTTTGAGCGTTTGATCGTTTTGAATTTAAAAAAATATACATATATGTATAACTCGACTGATAAGCTACTGATAAATAAGCTGCATGATTTGGGGATAAATTGATTCGATTTATAAGAAAAAACCAAGGTTCGAAATAAGAACACTTTTTTTTTCTTTTGAAAAATCAAACGAAGCGCATTAAACATTTATTGCAATATTCCCATTGAAACAGATTTGATTAATCACTTCAAAGCGACTCCTTTCGTGTCATAGATAGTGAGTTTGCGGCTCTCGGCCTTGTCTTCTTTCACGAATTTTGTCGCTTTGATCTTCAAAAACCGGTCGGGGGTGTACGTCGTGTGCAGGCTTGCAAGGTTCATCGTCTCCGGGATTTTGAACTTTCGAGTGAGAGACCTAGAGTCGGTTATGTTACTGTGGTGAGGTGAACCTTTTTTCCCAAGAAGAGGCTTTATGTGATTCAAAATAAAAAAATAAACCAAAAAGACAAAAAAGAGAATATTGAGAGAAGTTGGAACTGTAGGTCTGATTTTGAGTAAAATGGAATTATAGTTTGTGTATCACGATTTGAAATTTCACAGAACGACATTCCGCTCTTCCGCTGCGTGCGTTCGCGAAGCTCACGCTTCCAATTGATTGTTATTGTTGTGGGAGCACATGAAAGTAGAGTACCTTGATGAAAAAAAAAAAAAATTAAAAGCGCGACCAAGGTTCGCAAAGGCGCGCAGCGGCGCACCGGAATGTCGTTTGGTGAAATTCCAAGTCGTGGTACACAGGGTATATCGAAAAGCCTCGAAAAACTGAAGCCAGAGTAAATTCCAAAATGATCTTTTTTTCAGGACCTGTCTAACGAGAGAATGAATAGAGCTTCTATTTCAAAATCCGTTTTACATCAACTAAGAAAACTCGAAAAATATGAATGCCAACCTGTGCTTGTATCCATACTTGTCGTTGCCTTCGTGATCCGCGACAACGGTCACCTCTCGACCATTCAAACTCACGTCGATTTCTTTAGGGTTGAAGAATCGGACGTCGATCTTCTTTATGAACTCATTGCCTTCTACCGTTTCCTATAGGTTTATTAACTTCTTTTCCTCATAACCAACAGCTGAATACCGAGAGCTCTCCTTCTGATCTACCCAATTTTTTGATAATGCCCTCCATTGCCCGGATTTCCTCCAGCAAAACACGTTCACTTTTGCGTTTCAGAGCATCCAGGTGATCGGAACGATTGATGGCGTTAGTGGGATTCGACATTTGTCTGAAATTAAGATTAAAAATTTTAAAAGTTATGAAAAGATTAAATAAATCCTTCACTGGACTTGCGGAAAACAGATCATTCCAAACAGAGGAAACTGCTTTAACAAGAATTTATTTTAACATATAACGTTGGTTAACATTCGAAAAGGTTATCATATTGAATATGATTCAGTTCAAGGCGTGTCCGGACTCGTCGTAGATGGTCAAGACGTTGCCCTCGCCCTTGTCCTCTTCCTGGACCTTGGTCGCTTCGATCTTCAGGAAGTTCTCGACAGTCAATGTCGTACGCAAACTGGCGAGGTCTACCGTCTCCGGAAGCTTGATCTTGCGAGTGAACGACCTGAAGCAGGTCAGTTTCAAGCCAACTAGGAACCCTTTTCTTTCAATATTTAATTGACAGTTTCTCCGAAAAAAAAACTATAAATTTCATTGAAGCATTATTTCAAAACGAATAGGATCAAGAATAAAAATTGGTTCATATGAAAAAAAGAAGGTGCCACGACTTTGAATTACACTAAACGACATTCCGCTGCGTGCGGTAAAAAAGCTACGCGACCGCACGCAGCGGAACGGCGGAATGTCGTTCGGTGAAATTCCAAGTTGTGGCATGCTACAGACTGTAGCAGCTCTCTAATTGGCATCTTGAGAAAAGTTTCATTTATTTATGTAAAAAGAAGTGGTATCAAACTGATTCCAATCTAAATTGACTTTTGGCTTGTTTCCGGCGAGAATTCATTACCCCGTTGGTTACACTAAATAGATTGGTATGGAACCCATCTACAACTATGGATTTCAATCATAAAATAGAACCAACCTGCTCATGAATCCGCACTCATCGCTGATCTCTTTGTTCGCGGAAACGGTGACTTCACGATCGTTCTGAGTCACTTTGATCTCTTCGGGAAGATATTCTTCGACGTCAACCTGCACCATGAACTTCTTGCTGTTGTTGACGATCTGAAACTCTTGTTTTCCATTCAGATTTCAGTAGCTGCTCACCTTGAAGATGTCGTCGGAGAAACTCTCTTGACCAAAAAGGCCCCGGTCGAGACTACGAATTCTCTGATAAATGCTGCTTTGGTTGAAAGGGCGCTTCTGTCCAATGGCGAGGGAAGCAAGCTTAAATTGGCTAAGCCTTTTGGCCGAGTCAGTAGCCACAGCTGGAGCTGGAGCTGGAGCAGAAGCAGAATCCGACATCACTCTTAAAAAAACTTCCTTGCTGATTTCTATTTATATCGGAAGTGATCTCGTCGGCGGACAGCAAAATTTAGTAACAAAATACCCTCCAAAATACTCATGTCTCAACAAAATTATCGCTAAGGGCTAGTGTTAAAACTTGGCACATTTTAGGATTTTAATCCTTTTTTAAAATTGTGCATACACCGACAAATTTAAAAATTGTGCATACACCGATTGCGGTTTTTAGGCTATATCTTCATCAATAACGAGGTTTTTCGTACGAAAAAAACAAAGGCAAATTTAAAAAAAACACAATTAGCACATTCAAAGATACAAATTTTTGTTTCAAAAAAAGTGAGTTATTTCAAACCCCAGCAAGTCTAAAAAATGGCCTAATTTCAAAGTTCCGATTTTAGTCAAAAAAATGTAATTTCAGTAATTTTTCATTTATTAATGTTGTAAATAACTACATTCTTCCAATCAACCAAAAAAAAATGATCAAAAAAACGGTCTGAAATGGCGGCGCAGTGGAAACCGGACGAGGCCCTGTAGGTCTGATATGGTGTGAAATGCGCTGCAAAGCACGTACTGGCTTTTCAGACGATAAAAACTATCAAAAACGTAGGAATAGTGTTCAAAATAGTAAAAAAAAACACGATAAAAAGCGAAAAAAAGTTTCAAAATTCAGCGGGAAGTGAAAACTTTTTGAATAATTTTCGAAAATTTCTCATTACTGTATAGTGCAGTTTTGCGGTAAGTGTAACCACGCAAAACTCTCCCTCACGCCTAATGCCACGAGGATTTACGCAAAAGTTTCTCATTTCATTATTTTTATTTTTATTTTTTTGAGATTTTTTCTTACTATATTTTTACTAAAGTGGTGAAAGGTGAATTTCACGAAATGTCTGCAAATCCTGTAATATAGAGAAAGTTCAAAGAAATCTAGCTGATTTTGGTTTATTGTGGCTTTGTGTAAAAAAGACTCTGGTCACTTTTTCTCGTCTACCAGAAAATATGCATTTTTTTTTTGACTTTATACTATACTATGAAGAGTTTGATTTCAGAATGGCGGCTAATGATTTACCAATCGACATTCACAGCAGCAAGCTTTTGGGTAAAATTTCATAGATTTTGAACGTGTAAACAATTATTTATTGTAGATTGGCTAGTCAGCCGCCGGCATTGTAATCGAGATTGGCAGAAAAACGTGGTGACGATTCGCGAAAAAATAAAACATGCTATTTTGGATATGCCTGAATCGAAAGAAATTGTTCAATTGCTTCAGGGAAGCTGTAAGTTTTCTATAAAATTTCAAAGTCTAAAAGTTGAAATAATTTTTCAGATATAAACTATTTTCACTGTGTAAGGATAATCGAAATTTTGCGCGATACCGAAAAAGATACGAAAAATTTCCTTGGCTATTATTCTTCACAAAGGATGAAGGATTGGCAGGTGGGAAAGTTCAAAAAAGGAAAATTGTTTTATTTTTCGGGATTTTTGAGGAAATCGAGTCGTTATATAAAAAAGACAACGTTTATTTGGCTGAAGGAGCGCAAGTCCTTCAGAGATTGGTTCAGTACGAGATTCCTGGCCTCAAGAAGCAAATTACAAAAAGCGATCAGGCTGTTACGGTAGAAATCATAGAATTTCCTTAAATTGATATTTTGACATTTAGGAAAGCGAGAAAAAGTTCAAAGATTATGGGAAACAATCGGAGGATAGCAAAAAAGTGTATGAAAAGGAGCTCCAAAGAATGAGCCTTCAGGTGAGAATTTTTTTAAATTCGGAACTCTTTCTAGTCTTGGAAAAAAACTGATAACGCCTTTTTGACTATAATCTTTTCGAATTTGGTTAATCTTCAAAAAACTCCATGGCAGAGCTTTATGATTAATAATATGGACTTTTCAGGGAAAATCACTGAGAGCCGAATTATTATCTCTTGCCGCCGACCTGCCACAGTTTTTCGAAAAAATAGCCTCAGAAGTTCAAAATTTGTCATTGGCGCGGCAACATTATGGACATTTTCGAGACTACATGCATCAGTTATTGATTTTATCGATTTTTGGAGTCAATTTCTAATCTTTCAGAGGGAAAGCTTCGTCCATAGTCATTTTGCCAGTTTTAGCGTTGATTATGGAGAGAGGAGTTGATGTGACGGCTTATGAATGGTTTGAAATAAAAATAGAAAGAAAAGAAATTATTTTATTTTTATGAGAAAAGTTCTTTTTTTCACAGTTTCATAATAAATTCGAGAAATTGAATGTTTTTTTCGAAAAATTCACGGCGTTCCCAAACGGGGTCGAAAACGTGAAAAAAATTTCTGGCGCGAAATTCTAATCTCAAGTACGCAACCAAAGACAATTACTGCGAATTTTTACGAGAAAATCTTCTTCCTCGAAATAGTTTGAATTTATTCGGTTACTGTATTTATAAAGTCCGCGAAATTGAAGTGAGGCACTGAAAGCATTTAATTTGACGCGCAGATAGAACTGTCACGTTTTTTTGATATTAAAAAAAAATTTTTTTAATCGATTTGTGCGTTTGATTCGTTTTTTTGTAGTCTGGAATATAATTCCGGATTTAATTTTTTTGTACAAATTTATGAAGCTTTAGAAAAAAATTGGTATTTTTTTGTTCCTACCGTTTTTATTTTTTTGATAGTTCACAGCGTTTCCAAACGGGTGTGTAGACGTCAAAAAAATTTGGCACAAAAATTGAAATCTCAAATACTCAGCCAAAGGCGATAGGACAAACAAGTAATAAACGTTGAATATTCAGTGTAATTGTGACGTAATTTTATCCGGAGCGCGCACTTTCTTTTTTTGGTGAATTCAAAAATTTTGGCGCTCCCTCACCCTATTAGGAATGCCGTGAATTAAGGAAATCTAGCTTTTTTCTTATTTTCTGTATATTGGCTCGGGAAATTGTCAAGTGCTTGTAATTTTGGATTCAGTTATTTCATCAAGAGGTGCAAGTTTCAGGTCGTAGGACCTTTTTTTTATAATTTCAGAAATAAGCTTGTAATTTTTCATATTTTCCAACAGATTTTTCATTCAGGAAATACGGCAAGAAGCCGGACCGAGTCGAGAAACCGAACTTTGATTTGCTGCTCAAGGCGGATGAGGTTTGCAAGCTTCTCTATCCTCATAATTTGAAATTTCCAGAAAAAAGAGGAGGACGAGATCGATTTCGGGGACGATGAGATCGATTTCGGTGGAGATTCTGCCGATGTTGAGATTGATTTTGGCGAGGAAGTTCAAATTGACGTTGTCGCCGATGATACGGGTTAGAAATTTTGCGGATGCTCTTGAAAAAATTCGAAATCTGAGTGGTCCTTTTTTTTGAAACTAAGCGCTGACACTTTTTTCGTAACCTTTTTAGCGCTGCCTTTTTGAGAGCTGCAATTTTGAAATCTGCTAGGGTGTTGTCCTATTTTTTGCTAGCCGCTGCTAGTTAGAGAGCTGCATCTTTTTATCTAAAAACTTTCTTTGGTTCATTATTTTCAATTTAAAAGGTAGGTGGTTGAACTTTACGGTTGTTAGTTTCTCTAAAATAAGGTTAAGAACCTCATTTGGCTTTTTTTAAAGCAAATTTTGAGGATTTTCTCTGACTTTGAGCTGTCTCTCAAAGAGTAGATTTTTCAGGTTGAGATTTTCAGGATCTTTTTCTGATATAGTCTGCTCTGATCTTGAATGTCAAGCAGCTAACTCCGTTCCTGCTGACACGGTACCTTTTCGCGTCGATGTTTCATCGCGCGGGACGATTTTCGATCTTTTTTTCATTTGAAAGATAGAAAAAAAGAAGTCGAAAAATGCAGCCTTATTAAAGGGCCATCGTCATCTGTAGATAAAACAACCGCGAACTGAATTATTTTTCTTGTTTTTTTTTTCATCGAGCAAACAGTTCAGATCATTTTCCAACTTCAATCTTCATTTTGGAAACTTTTTTCACGTTTACATTTTTTCTGTTTCGAATTTTTCAACCGAACTAAAATGGGTTATTTGATTTTGCAAATGAAGTTTGAGGCGAATAAAACGTTTTTTTCAATGAGATTTTTTTGTTATTATCAAAGTGGGAAGCTACCTAAAGTTATTCTCGAGTTTTTAAAAAGCTTTTTCAAAGCTCTAGATTTTTTTGATTTTTTTACAGGAGTCTAAAAAAATTGAGCTCACTTTTTCCAGAAAGCTAAATAATTAATTCAAGGAGCGGTTGGTGAAAGCGTCGCCAGTGGAGAAGATGCCTTGAGTCTTTTGGAAAATAGCGCCTCCCAAAAAGTCGTTCGCGACGAGCTGACGGAGGTATTCGTCACAAAATGCGGTTGCTTTGATGAGTTTATGATTTCTAAGCTTCTTGCCTTTCTCACGATGCGTTTGGATGACGAAACCCGACAGACAGGGGCCGATTTATTGATCCGAGGCGCTGAAACTCGCCCGGACAGTATTGCGAAGGTAATTTTCCATACTGGAAAAAAGAAAACTGTTTAAATCTAGATTTCAACCGAGCAGCTTAAAGACTGGATTTCGCTTGGAAATGGAATCGTTTCGCAGCTTAATAACCCTCAGAAAAATCATCTTTTTAAAATTCGCAGCTCTCCACAGTTAATTCGATTACAGTAGTTTCATAAATATTCATTGTATTTTTAGGTTTGTGGAAAGTGTCGTCGAAGATTTGGAGAAGAAGCGCAACATGGAGGGACGTTATAAAAGGTAAAAGTTTAATATATATGAAAATACTGATTCCACATTTTTAGGATGCAAGAGCTGATGGTGGAGAAACAGAAAGAAGCTCGAGAAACGCTGGCCAAATCGAATGAGGAGCTCAAACGGGTCGTGGAAAGTACCCGGCAGCTTCAGAAACAGGTATTTTTGAGGAAATTGAAAAGTAGTGAAACAATTTCGCTCGGCTGACAATTGGTGTTTGAATTGATCATAAGATATAAATTCCTTTCTTAATTTTTTTCCAGATTTTTCATAAAAAAATCGCATGAAAAAAATGAAAATCTTATTTTTGCAAAAATTTCTGAATAACCCCGCACCAAAGAAAATTTCAAGGGCGATTCTAGAATGCCTAGACAATCTTCAAAATTAGCCCCCTTCGGAATAAGCTTTTGCAAGTCTTGTCCGGATCAGCCCCACCATTCTAGAATAGCTTCCCCATTCTAGGATCCCCTCCACAACATACTAGACCACCAGATCAACGAAAATGTAAGAAAGTTACTGTCAAAATAACCAGCCCCTGTCAAATATATAGTATACATGCCTAAACTTTTTTTGGAACACGAGCATCAAAAATCAAAGGGGGGATTCTAGAACGCTTCAGAAATCAAGCAGAACATAAAGTTTTATAAACGCATGTTTTTTATCCTTAGCTATATTTGAATAGATTATATCCGTTTCAACATTTTGAATAATACCATTTGTAGATGGAATCGGAAATATCGAAAAAGTACAGCGGTCGGCCGGTCAACCTCATGGGTGGAATCAACCAAGCCCTTGCCAATGTTTGATTTATTTACTTTAAAAATGTTTCCCAATTATTAATCTATTCTTCTATTTCTGGTCGTTTTCGTTCATTTTTAACTGTTGCCATTTTTCCTGGTTTTCATGTGGTGTCGAATTTATTCGCATATCTTCCCTGCATTCTCGATTGTGATGTTATTTCTTTTTCTGCTTATCATTTCTTGTATACTTATATGATAATGGAGTCTTGAAATCAAAAATTCAGGCAGAGAGATAATTGGATCTTAGTAATAAATATTATTTATTCTTGATGATTTGAAGTTGTTCATTGTTTCTTTCCTTTTTTGGATATTTCAAGTTGGAGGGGCTCCTCTGAAGTGAATCTTTTTGGGAAATCTGCGAATCTGAAAATCAGGAAAAGGCTGACTTTTTTTTTGTTGAAGGTATGGCATTCGCTTTAGAGACCACTACAAGTGCTCCAAGAGGACACTTGAGGGATCTAAAACACCAATTTCCTTCCAGGTTTTTTTTCAATGTTTTTATCAAAAAATTTGAGACTTGTTGTCATTGTCTCAAAGGAAGATTTAGTCAAGGAGTCACTTAAAATTTGCCCCCTTAAGTGGCCACTTAGTTTGTCTCACTCTTTTTTTTCTCTCTATTAAGAAAATTGTGATGGAAAGAAGGTATAGTCGATTCATGGCTGGCTTGGGACGTGAGAAAAACGTGGCCTGTCTGCGCTCTCCATCAACCAAGCATTATCTCTTTTTTTTCGTGTCAGGACCCATTTTTCACGGCTGAAGCCAGCCGTGAATCGGCTAATATCTCTGTTGATGCATTTCAAAAATTGAAGCTCCTTATTTAATTTTATTCCAAGACACATTTTGTGAGGGAGGTACAATAGAAATGGCAGTAATTGTGCGTTTTCTCAAATAGTTCCGCTTGAAACAACGAATCATTTCTATCCGGATCATTTTGGTGAAAATGAAATACGTGGTGAAATTGATTAATAGTTGGCAATAAATTCGGACGCAAAATGTGACGCGGTTCGCCTTGGCGCTCATTGTGAAGCCTTGGGCCTGAAAAGAACGGAATTTTTATTTTAGAATATTAAATTTTATAAGGAAAAAAAGTTGATAAAATGAAAATTGGAGGAGGCTTGCAAAAAAATGAAAGAGCTGAAAAAGTTTTTTTCGATTTTTTTGTTTTTTTTCGAAAATGGACCTTTCATTTCATGGCGTTCCCAAACGGGGTGGGGAGAAGTCAAAAAAAAAACTGGCGCGAAATTTGAAATCTACAGTACGCAGCCTAAGGCGATCGAACAAACAAGTTATTAACGTTTAATACTCAGTGTAACTATGACGTCATTTTATCCGGAACGCGCACTTACTTTTTTTTGTAAATTCAGAAACTTTGACGCGTCGCTCACCTTCCCTCATCCCATTAGGAATGCCGTAATTTTGAAGTCTTGGACATCAAATTTGAGCTCTTTAGGAGTAAAATGTTTTCAAAACGATTTCGTTCCAATTCAAAATATCTCTAGTTTGAACTGTTCAATAAATCTTAAATAAAGAACTGAAAAACCTACCGCCAAATACTGTAGTACATGAGCTGATACTTCATAAACGCCGATAATAACGCAAACTGTCAAAGTTTGTATCAAGAGAACATTTTCTGTCCTCCTATTCTGTGAACCCGATCGATAGGAAATGCCAATTGAACCTTGAACCTCGGTGATAAAAAAAAATCGTAATTTTTCCAACCTCCACAGAGAATCAGCCGTAAATTTTCAAAAAATATAGTTCTTCGAAGTTTCAAATAAAACACCAGAAAAAGATTAGCTGAAGAGGAAAATGTGAGCGACGACAGCATGATGATACTCAAGGCCGGTGTTGTCTGGAAAATGTCCTTTTTGTTTTCAAGAAATTCGTATTCTTTTCCCTGTTAGCTTGGGACTAAAGTAACGTCCAAGACTTTTTTGCATACTTAGGATTTTCAGAGGGGTCCCTATAGGAGTTGGGGGAACAAACACCTCCTAGAAGGGCCGAAAAGGGGCCCCTACGGGGGTGAAAAAGGCTGTCCCTATAGGGGTTTATGGTCTTCAGTTGAGTCTAGCTTACCTAAATAAGCATGTGTTCGTCTCTCGACACAGTTTTCCATGGGCCTCTCAGCCCCTTAAGCTCAAGTGGTCCCTATAGGGTTCGTTCAACTTCGTTCAAAAAAATGCTCAATTAATGAGTTTTTCGCATGGAAATGCTTCTTTGCATAGAGTTTATAACAATCATCGACCAGCATGTTTTCTATGGGGGCCACTTTTGCAAGGTTTAGTGGTACCTAGAGTAGACCCTTCAAGAGCCCCTAAGGTAGTCCCAATAGGAACCGCTGTGGAGCTCCTAATAGCTTGTCCGTGTAAAATCCTATTAATTATTGTCTTAAGCCATAGGTGAAAAAACTATTAAAAGAAAAAAACACACCACAGTGCCTTCTCCAATCTGAACAAATCTGTACAGTTTGATGTCGAACACCACTCGCGTGTCGGTTAGGATAGGCTCCACAGCGAAAAGAGTCACGAAAACCTTAGAAAAAGAAAAATATGAAAACAAAGGAAATATTGTTCCAAACCGCAATAGCAAGACTGTAAAGCCAAAGACGCCGACTCTCGAACCAATAACTTTTTGAGTTGAAAAAGATCAAACAAATTCGATTCATAGTTATCAAAGGCGTCAGAAGTATCCGATGAGCATATGCAATCAGACCGACTGTACTGGTTAAAACTCCAGTTTGCTCAAATATCACTGGAAATTACCTTTTTTCACTCCAAATAACAATAAATAAATTTACCTTGCGCAACAACCTCAGGCGATAAATTCGGCTGACAAAATTGGAAAAAGCTGGTCGTGTTATAAATAAGTTCTTGCGTTGTCATGACGTAGATGTAGGTGGTTGTTAAGGCTTCTGAACTTCTGAGAGAATTTTCAGTGGCCACTATAGGGTTTTGACGTTTTAGTGGCCACTATAGTAGTCAAATTAGTGGCCACGTAAGGGGTCTGAGCGCTACTACTAGACCACTAAAAGATTTAGTGGCCTCTTTAGGGGTCAATGGATCAACATAACTGGTCCAATCTGTTTGTTTTAAAATTATCAGAGTTACTGGAAGGAATACTGGATGAAAAACTACTGAAGTGGCCACTAAAACGGAAAATAGTAGCCACTATAGAGGTGGGTTTAGTGGCCACTTTAGTGTCCTCTCCAAGTAGTCCTTGGCGAGCCTCTATAGTGGCCACTAAACATTTTCCCAGTTCTCCATTGATTTTTTGATTTTTTAAAAAGTTGATGCAAAATTGAAAAATAGTAAAGACGGAACAAACTTCTGATTTTGCTCTGTTGGATGACTTTGAGCGTGAAAATATTGAAGCTTATGCTGAAAATATGGATGATCAATGTCGCGATACCAACCCAGAACTCGAAAGAGATCTCAGTCATAGTGTTTTCGAGTTATTGCAGGAAATAGATTTCATATAAGCGCTGAAATGAAATTATTCGATTCAGCGGCGTGCTTGTGAGATTCTCGTTGAAAAATGGGCCTTTCTTGAAAAAAAAGAGATAGCTAGAAGGTGGATGAGGGGATTCGATGTTTCAAATCTCGAAGACAAGAAGAAGAGTGAGAAGATTTAAAAAAAGATATATTCTGTATCAAAACTGAAAAAAATCTTTTTTTCATTGAAAGAAGATGACAGTTTAACATTTTTTTCTCGCAAAAAGTTCCAGGAATATCATGGTGCATTAAATAATCTATTTTTTCTACAAGACCTAATGAAGCAAAAAAGAAAGCTACAATATTTAAAACTTGAACAAAATTTCAGAAATTTCGAAAAAACAAAAAGAAGAAAAAAGCTTTTGAAATGACTTTGAGCGGAAAATGAACGATAAAAAAAGTTTCTCACCAGAAAAATGAGTATAAATTCACTTTTTTCCCTAAATAAAAAAGGCCTCAGAAATCATAAAATCACCTACCCTAACCTACCCAAAAAAGGGACAAAAAATTTCCGGGTGTAGAAATTCTGAGTCAGGAAACCTGCCTCCGCGTAAGAAGTTTATTAAATTTTCGCATATTGTTTTTTGTCTCACTCGCGGTGGTGATATCTTGCAATTCATTCATATAGAAACTAAAAAGGTTTTATGAAGCTGGAAAAAAATGTCTTGATGTTTTGGCTGTGGATATTGCATCTGCTTATCATTCTGGGAACTCATATAATTAACAAAGGCGTTTAGTTCGAAGATTGAGAGCATAGAACATATGATAATATTCTTAGGAACGTCAGAGTGGCCACTATAGGGGTTAGGGGAAGAAAAGTCCCAATAGGGGATGAAAAAGGGCCCTTATAGGAGTAAAATCTAGGGGTACCCTTGAAGATATTGGGGTCTGACCCTTAAGGTTACCCCTATAGGGACGACTATGAAGTTCCTAAGTTTAGTAAATGATAAATTAACATATTGCGAGAGACGAAGAACAATGGCCGGATTATTCTCCCCAATTTTTTCAAATTTGATGATATTTTCAATCCCTCATACGGCTACTTGAAGTCTATCCACCTATAGGAGTCGTTTCATGCCAGAATTCAATGGTTTCAAATCTTAATTTTTATTGTCCGGAATCGTTCTTTGTCTGAGGTGTGACTGAAATTTTGTTTGCTGAAGGGTTTCTTGGATAATTCGGCTTGAAACAACGAATCATTTCGGTTCTCATAAACTTGGTGAAAACGAAGTAAGTTATGAAATTAATCAGCAGTTGACAGTAAAGACGGATGCAGAATGTGACGCGATTCGCATTGGCGCTCATTTTGAAGCCTTGGTTCTGAAAAAAATAGTTTTATTTATAGAAAATTGAAGAATGAAGTTTATTGATTCAAAAAAATAAAAAAATGAAAAAAAATAGCGAAAAAAAAATAAGGCGCTAGAACTTTTTTAAAAGTCCCATTTTTTGCTTTTTAGTTTCTGAAGTTAACATACTGGGAAAATTTTTTTAGTGGCCACTATAGGGGCTCGCCAA